ACACAAGCACCTAGACTAGAGAGGCACAGGTCTACACTAACAGGAGGCAAACATCCTAGACTACGAACATGCGAGCACACAGATCCATCAGCACTATAGTCAACATCAGCATACAAAGCATACTGACAAGCATCGTCCATAGACAGTTCAAATGCAGGAATCTTACGGGCTAGCAGGCGAGCCCAGCGCGGAGTGGTTGCCTCAGGACCCCAGTGCGCACGGTAAAGGTCGTCGAGGCGGCGGAAGCACCGTGCCGCAGAGTGGTCGTCGCGGCCGCAGACACAGTGACTGCCCGGTCCGGTGACGCACCAGTGGTCGTACGGGCCGGTTTCGCGCCACGGGGGGCGAGGGGCCCAGCTGGTAGTGTTGCTGCTGCGGCCAGTGCTCCCGGGTCCTCCAGGTCCCCACTGTGGCGGAGGGCCCCAGTGCTGTTGCGGACCCCACTGCAATGGTGGTCCCCACGACTGAAATTGCTGTGGTGCCTGCCACTGCTGCTGTCCCTGCTGCTGCTGCTGTCTCTGCTGTGGCTGCTGCTGCTGTGGTTGCTGCTGCTGGGGCCCCGCACCGCCGCTAGTCGAACCTCCTCCAGCAGGCGGGTCAACACCTCCTCCAGAGCTCCCTCCGCCTGAGGCACCACCGCCACCGCCACCACTGCCGCCCCCAGGGCCGCCTCCACACCGCCACCTCCTCCACCGCCGCTACCCCCCTTCCTCCCTTTCTTGCCTCCCTTGCCCCGTTTCTGCCTGTCAGCGACAAAAACAGTTGCAGTGTCCTCAGAGACCGACACAGCAGCAGAGGCACGAGTTGCAGTGAAGGTAGGAAGCTGGGGGACAGCACACCCCTCAAACAGACGAGGGGCAACTGCGTCAGTGGCTGAGTAGTCGTCAACGACCACCAGAAAGTAGCGCTCCCTCTCAGGTCCCAGCGTAGGGGCAGGGCCCCAGACGTCCAATTGGAGAGTCTGGAAGGGAGCAGTGGCCGGACGAAGGGAGGAGGAGTGCGGAGTGGCGCGCAGGCGGCCGGCGACGCAAGGAGTGCAGGGTTGGGCAAGCGAGGGAGGGAGCGTCGGAAAGACGTGCGGGAGACCTGAGACAAGATTGTGACTGGCCATGCTGCAGAGGTGGGGGAGCAACAGGTGGCCAAGGCGGTGGTGCCACAAGACGGTCGGGTGGGCTAGGGACCGACAGGAGGAAGATGCAGCAACCTCACCAGACACCTCTACCTGACCAAACACAGCAACCGGACTTGACACCGGGACCTGAGGGGACGCAGCAACCTGAATGGAGGAAGCAACCGGGGAGCGCTCGGTGTGGAGAACGTAGAGACCAGAGCGGGACTCCCTAGTAAACGTGGCCAGAATAGCACCTGTAGTGGCGCCTGTACAGACCGCATTCCTCCCACCCCCCACAAAGGTAACGGTGATCCCCCTGTCCTGGAGGTATCCAACACTCACCAAGTTCCGAGTGAAAGAAGGGATGTGAAGGCCGCGCAGGACACCAGAGGGGACCACAGGGCACGGGAGGGTGGTGGAGCTGCGCGCAACAGCTGGTCCTGAGGAAGGATCAGCCAGAGCTACCAGAACCGGGGCAAGGAGTGGTGTGAGGGTCGTGTGGTCACGTAAGAAACACTGCGACGCGCCAGAGTCCAGCGTGAACGACAGAGACGCCTCAGCCAGAGGCGTGTCAGGTCCGGAGGCTACGCAAGCACCTAGAGCAGAGACACAAGCACCTAGACTAGAGAGGCACAGGTCTACACTAACAGGAGGCAAACATCCTAGACTACGAACATGCGAGCACACAGATCCATCAGCACTATAGTCAACATCAGCATACAAAGCATACTGACAAGCATCGTCCATAGACAGTTCAAATGCAGGAATCTTACGGGCTAGCAGGCGAGCCCAGCGCGGAGTGGTTGCCTCAGGACCCCAGTGCGCACGGTAGAGGTCGTCGAGGCGGCAGAAGCACCGTGCCGCAGAGTGGTCGTCGCGGCCGCAGACACAGTGACTGCCCGGTCCGGTGACGCACCAGTGGTCGTACGGGCCGGTTTCGCGCCACGGGGGGCGAGGGGCCCAGCTGGTAGTGTTGCTGCTGCGGCCAGTGCTCCCGGGTCCTCCAGGTCCCCACTGTGGCGGAGGGCCCCAGTGCTGTTGCGGACCCCACTGCAATGGTGGTCCCCACGACTGAAATTGCTGTGGTGCCTGCCACTGCTGCTGTCCCTGCTGCTGCTGCTGTCTCTGCTGTGGCTGCTGCTGCTGTGGTTGCTGCTGCTGGGGCCCCGCACCGCCGCTAGTCGAACCTCCTCCAGCAGGCGGGTCAACACCTCCTCCAGAGCTCCCTCCGCCTGAGGCACCACCGCCACCGCCACCACTGCCGCCCCCAGGGCCGCCTCCACACCGCCACCTCCTCCACCGCCGCTACCCCCCTTCCTCCCTTTCTTGCCTCCCTTGCCCCGTTTCTGCCTGTCAGCGACAAAAACAGTTGCAGTGTCCTCAGAGACCGACACAGCAGCAGAGGCACGAGTTGCAGTGAAGGTAGGAAGCTGGGGGACAGCACACCCCTCAAACAGACGAGGGGCAACTGCGTCAGTGGCTGAGGGCGACGGGCTGGGGCGCGGGCTAGGGCGACGGGCTGGGGCGCGGGCTGGGGTGACGGGCTGGGGAGACGGGCTAGGGCGCGGGCTGGGGCGTCGCGCTAGGGCGCGGAGGGCGCGGAGGGCGCTAGGGCACTGAGGGCGCATAGGGTGCGAGAGCGCGGAGGGCGCGGAGGGATCTAGGGCGCGGAGGGCGCTAGGGCGCGGAGGGATCTAGGGCGCGGAGGGTGCAAGGGCGCGGAGGGATCTAGGGCGCGGAGGGAGCTAGGGCGTGGAGGGCGCGAACACGGGCTAGGCGAGGCTAGGAACGAACCTAACTGATACCATCTTAAGAAGCATGCACAACAGAATGATTGAACTAGGGAAGCAAGCAGGGCCCTAGGTATCAGACTTTTTAGTCTGATTCAGAGTCCGTTCAGGCCTTTTTTTAGTACCTAGTCTGAACTCAAAGTTTTTCTATATGTACCTTCTCTGTTTTTTCAGAGTTTTTTTTTATGTATTGGCTGAAATTTCAGACGAATTTTATGAGTGTAGGCTGAGCCTCAGCCTTGTATCAGGGGTGCACTATGAAACGGGTAATGCAGGGGTTTCCGCCAACCTGGCGGCGTGTTGCACTAACACCGTCAATCACGGGCGGGAAACGAAAATAGCTCGCGGCACGCTGCTACTCTCACGTCACCACATCCATCCACCCCACCCACCCCACCTTCCCTGCATACACGGCCAGGTGCCGTGCATGCAGTGACCACTAGAGAGATGAGCGGTCCAAATACGAGGACCTCTCATCTTCCTCATCGTCGCCTTTCTTGGGTGTCACTCTGTTGTGCCCTGTCTCTCTTGCTTCACATCAATAGCCTCACCGGAAACTAGTGCCGGAACCCTTGTTTCAGGCTCCCTCTCCTCGACCCCGCAAAACCAGTGCTCGGCAGACTCAATGACAGCCATGGACGCTGCCGCCAAAGGGCCCGACGATGACGAAGATGCCGATCGTCGCCCTGTTTGCGACGCTGTGACCGGCCTAGACTTTCTTAGATCAGTCTCACCGAAGCATGTTCCACCACCGGCGCCACCTTCACAACCTAGCTCTAGTCGCACTCCGGTTTCCATGCACTCTGAATCTCTGCCCGAGGCCGTCACTGAACTAGTGATCGCTGCACCACAGTCAGTGCCCCATGAGGCGTCCGTTGAAGCACCGTCCCGTCCCGCGCCACCGACGAAGCTGCGGTACCGACAGACCACGTTTCTGTGGGCAAATCCACCTCCTCCATCGACCGTTGAAGCTCCAGCGAGCGACGAATCTCCCATGCAGGACAGCTCAAAGCCCACTGACAAATCTCCCTCCGACAAGTTGGAGTTGAAATACGAAGAAGCTCACTTTCGTTATAAGACAAAGTGGTCTACCGATTTCTTGTGGTTGATTCTAACTAAAACTGCTTCTGGTGCCCCTGGTTTTAAGTGCAGTATATGCTTGGAGTTCGCGGGACTGACAGGCAAGTGTGGACGGCGTGGTGAGGGTGCTACCGACGTGCAGACGCAGTCCTTCAAGAAGCATGAAGGGACGGTGAAGCATCGATTTGCTCTGCAGCGGCAAGAGGACCTCTTGCAGAAATATGGGCGACAGCAACACATCGATCTACACCCGAAAGCGGAGGACAAGGAGATGTTGCAGGTTTCGTCGCTCGTGGACTCGCTGTACTTCATGAGCAAGTGCAACGAGCCCATAAACTCGTGGATTCGGCTAGTGCGCTACATGGCGAAGAAGAAGGTGCCCAGGTTTCCAGAGCAGGGGTACGGCACATACTACAATACGTAAGTATTGGCGGTTGTAACCACCGTATTGTTGGTTTTCACTCTTTTCCAATCGCTAACTGCCTCTGTTTGGTTTTTTGTACAGGTACGGCTTCGGAGAACTAACTCAGGCAATTGCAACATGGCTCCAAACAACGCAACTGGAACACCTTCTAACGAGCCCCTTCATCGGGATCACTCTGGACGAGAGCACCGACCGGCGGCGCGGCAAACACATGATTGTGTTTGCCACCTTTCTGCGCGACGGTCAAATCGTGACTGAGTTCGTTGCTCACCTTACGGTTGAGAAAGCTGACGCTGTGTAGTTTGTTGCTTTCCCACCACAGGGCTGTCAGCGTTGATCTCCGCCGTATTTCGGGAGTGAGCACGGACGACGCCATGGTGATGGTGGGGGCCACAATGGTGTGGTTGCTCGACTTCGGATGCTCATCCCCAACCTGGTTTCGTTCCACTGCATTGCTCACCGGTTCGTTTGTGTTTAACGCTCATGTGGAGACGTTGGTGAGGTATTTAATTATCTGCTTATCTTGTTTGTTTGTAAGATGTGCAGAGAGGCTTTGGCTGCCAAAGCTGTTGCAGAGGCTATACCTACGTTCAACATGGTTGACGACGTCATCCGCGCCGTCGGTGAGTACCTGGGGCGATCATCACCGTGGCATCAACGGTTCATGGAGCTGCAGGAGGTCTTCATGTCCACCAATCTCGAGGTGCAAGGGATCCACGAGATGCGGTGGCTTTCAAGGGGTGCTGCAGTCGCCCGCTTTGTCGAGGTCCTTCCTGCCATCATGGTGATGCTGTCAGAGTGGAAGGACCAGACGATGTACGAGCTCGTCACGTCCTACCGGTTTCAGTTCCTGCTACGGTTCCTCGCAGACGTTCTAGAGCTCCTCAACATCCTCTCCAAGGTTTTCCAGCAGCGGGAGGTAAGTAACTTGAGTACATGTTTTGTGTTGTTGTCTACACATGTACTAACTCACTCTTGACTTTTGTGTGGCAGCTCGACTACCCCTTGGTGCATACGCAGATTTTGCGCACAACGTCTCTCTTGGAGAGCCGGTACATCGAATGCAGAGACGACTTCGGCGGCGGCCCCAGCGAGCGGCTTTATCGCTTCATTGAGAAGCACAGACCGAAGGGGTCACCAGAGATGGTGGTGGAAGGCGCGTCGTCGGATGGGAGCCTCAACCGCTTCAAGGTCACCCTACACGAGCGTAGAGTGGCGAACTATCTTGGGCCAGGTCATCACGACGTGTGTGTGGCGCTCTGCGCCGACATGGCCGAGCTCCTCGTCCAACAGCTCTAGTCAAAGCTCGACGACCTCGACTCTCTTTTTGGCGTGCAACTTTTCATTCCTGACTTGTGGCAACCGAATTGGAAGAGGCACGTGCGGCAGGCACAGTGCCTTGAGTGGCTGTTGTCGCTAGTCACTCTGTTTCGCGCCGATGACTCGGACGAGATTCTACCAGGTCAGTTCATGATAGCACGCTCGTTCGACCGTTGAAAACGCGTCCTTTACTAATCCCATGCCTTGTCTTATCTTGCATGCATTGACAAGAAGCGTGCCGTGAAGGAGCTGCGGACTCTGTGCCCAGTCCTGGCCGGAGCTCCTAAGAGCGAGCGTAAGTTCAACACGGGACTGACTGCAATTCTCAAGACACCTGACTGGCAGCAAGCGTACCCCAACCTCATCAGACTCTGGGTGGCGATTGCAGTGCTGCCTCTCAGCACCGTCGAGTGTGAAAGAGGATTCTCTCGACAGAATCTCATCAAGACGTGGCAGAGGGGCAGTATCAAGGACCGTAGGCTCAATTATCTGCTGTGTATGTCATTGCTAGACTAAAAGCTAGATGTGCCTGGTGTAGTAGAGATTTGGCGCAGCTACAAGAAGCGTCGGCCAGTCACAGCACCTGCTGCAAGACACAGGGAGCCCCCAAGGGCTGGGAAGGAGCTTGTAGAGGAGCTAGTAGTTGAGCGGGCAGCTGTAGATAGTCATATGTCAGAATCTGAGTCAGATAGTTGAAATATTTCTTTAATGAAGTACAAAAGTCATCTGCCTTCAATTCGAGTGTAACTCTTAATGTTCAGCCTAAAAAACGTAGTGTTTTCTGAATTTCCAGCCTCAAAATTTGAGACAACTCTGACTGACAGAGTTCAGAGAAGGGTGCACGCTGACCCATCAGAGTGTCCCAAAACGAATCTAGGGGCCTGGAAGCAAGGGATACAAAAAGCAAACCTAGAAGTATTGTACTCCCTAGAGTGCTACTCACTGTAGCCTAAGAACGCATAACAACATTTGACAAGCCACTGCATGGCACAGCATGCAACAAGAGCACTCCAGTGTCCAGTCTGCCTGCCACACAAGTCTGGTCTGGTGTCAGCTCAGTTGGAGATCCAGAGACAGACAGTCCCTTTTCAGAAATCTCAAAGACCAAGGTGCACATACAGACAGGCAGACAGACCAACATTTCCTGCTCTGTGCCCCGATTGCTGAGGCAGATGCTACCAGAGTGCAGCAGCACCTGCAGCATCCCTGTCCCCCCATGTCGCCTCACATGGGCATGGAAAGAGTGCAGGCGAGCAGCATCCCTTGCCTGTTGAGGAAACGGCACCTCTAAACGGCAGCAGTATCAGCAGAACTCCCCTCCCCATTTCTCACCCACTCTAAGCGTCAGCAGCACTCCCATCCCCATCTCGCCTCACAGGGGCATGGTAAGAATGCAGGCGGGCGGCATCCCTCGCCTGTATGCCGTGGAACAGCGGGCCGAATGGCCGCATGGGGACAAACCGCCCCGCCCCCCTCGTGACGTTCAGCCGCCCGTGCTGCCACACCACCCTGCCCTGACTCACCGTGACCTCGATATTGCCCTGCGGGATGGATAGTTTAGGGGGAAAAGGAATAGTAGGATGGTTGGGGTGGCCAAGACACAAATGGTACCGTAATTTCAGGTGCCTCAAAAGCATGCTGCCACACCACCCTGCCCTGACTCACCGTCACCTCAATGTTGCTCTGCGGGGTGGGATGGTTGAGGGGGGGAAGGGATGTTAGGATGGTTGGGGGGAGAAATGAGATATCTTGTATTTTGAAGGGTGTATCTACTCACTTCTGGAGTTATATCTAACTCACTTTGAACAAACCGAAGCTGTGAAATTAGCAGCACTAAATGTGTCCGACACACTCAATCATCTCACCTGCATGCGCCACCCGTCCTACTTGTGAATCGACTCACATGTCACCTCACATTTTGCACTCAACTGTGTCCGACACACTCAATCATCCCACCTGGATGTGCCAACCCTCATAGACGTTAGTGTCAATGCGGGAGTGGTGAGAGGCAGCACTGATGGTGGTGCCTTTAGAGTCCCCTCTTGCATCACCTCCATTCACCACACTCACCTGCATGCGCCACCCCTCGTAGACGTTGGTGTCAATGCGGGAGTGGTGGGTGGCGGCGCTGATGGTGGTGCTGCCTCGCGGATTCAACACGATCACATCCGCATCTGACCCCTCAGCCACCACGCCCTTCTGCGGGTACAGGTTGAATATCCTTGCGCTGAGAAGCACGGACAGAAGTGGAGGGAAGATAGGTAGGGAAAGGGGAAGGGATGATGCGGATAGGGCTCGCAGTTATCAATGGCATGGTGGGAGGGGTTTGGTTTGGGATGGAGAGGAGGAGTGTGGCAGGTGATGGTGCTCATGTTGATGATTTAGGATGGCTGGAGGATAGTGGAGGGTTCAGGAGAAGGGTAGGGAGGAGTTGGAGCAGGTGGGGGAAGGGGAGTATTTGTAGTGCTGACTCACCATTTTGTGATTCTGCTTTACCATTCTGTGCTGCTGACTCACCACTCCGTGATGCTGACTCACCACTCTGTGCTTGTGATGCGGACATAATCACTGGGTGACATGAGACCCGAATTCTGCAACAATGGTTTGAGATAGGGAAAGGGAGAGAGGGGGAAGGGAGAGAGGGGGAAGGGAGAGAGGGGAAGTGAGAGAGTGTGTGCGTAGACAGATATGCAACACGCATCAATGCACCAGAAAATAAGAGTTTCACCTCTTAATGCTATCACATCCCATGCCCACTCACCACCATCACCCATGCCCACTCACCACCATCACATCCCAAGTTATGTGCATGCGCTCCTCTATGCCTGCACACAAGGAAAGAGCACATGACGCATGCATGCGAGATCATTATTCAGCCGATACCAGCCAGAAAGACACGACAAGATTGGATTGCCATGAGCACCTATTACGTGGCTTGTGGCTCGTAACTTGTGGCATACGTGCACATAGTGTTCCCAATCAACCCATCAAAACGCGTCGAACCATTCACGCCGTCACGAAACATCTAGCATCCCTGGCACAAGAGTGCATGGCAGGCACCATTCACGTCAGAACCACTTCCCTGACCATCAGAATCACTCGATTCCCTTCCTCACCATTGACCCCGTTGGGAATGAGGCGGAAGTCATGGCGCCCCTTGGCCTTCTGAGACGAGTTGAAGGGGCAGTGGTCCGTGGCTACCAGCTGAGGGAAGGGGAGGGAGTGAGGAGAGTGTGAGTACTGTGAGGGTGGAGACGGAAGTGAGGGTAGCGAGGGTAGTGATAGAGCCTCCTGACGAGTTAAGTGGGCAGTGGTCCATCCATGGCGACAAGCTGAAAGGGGAAGAGGCAGTGAGGCAGTGAGGGAGTGAGGGTAGTGAGGGGGAGTGAGGGAGCGGAGAGTGAGGGCTTGGGGAATTGGTGAGGGTAAGGAAAGATGGATAAGGAGGTCGAGAACAACGAAGGTATCGGTAGGGGTGCACCGTGACAGCACAAAGGATGGTGCATGCAATGCAATGCAATGCAAGGGTGTGCATGACATGCAAGGGTGTGCACATTCGTGAAAGCATGATATCTTTCTAGTAAACCTCATACCTGCAGTGTACCAGAGGCAACGTGATAATAAGATTGTTTTGAGCATCTCAAAACTTGGTAACCTTCTGAAGAAGTGCATACCTGCAGCGTGCCAGTGGCGAGTGCTGCTTTGACTGCTGCAACGTGCTCTGCTGAGCGGATGGGTGGACTCATCACAAACCTGCCGAGCGGGACAGAGGGGCATGCAAGAGGAGAGTCAGTACGATGGTGAGCAGCACGCCTGCTAAGCAGTGCATTCAAGTTGACTTCAAGACGAAAAAAACAAAACGAGAGAATCATTTTGACCTTTCTACTCCTGGATCAACAGAGGTAATGCCAAACGATGCATCAGGAACAGTATCTGCATGGTGCTAAACACAACGAGGGGATGATTGGAGCAACGACACGCAGCAATTCAAAATCGAGCCCTGAATCTAGAAGACATGGTGGTGACATGGTAACCCACTGAGCGGTGTGCTTGAAGTCAGGCGACCAGAGGTGCGAGTCGTTGAGAGCAATGCCCGACACCACCGGCTCCCCCACCACTCGCTGCCCTGCCAGCCATGGGGATACAAATGGGTGCAGTGCAGCAAATCGCGAGTTGAAAACAGTGAATGAAGTCAGTAAACCAGACATGCGAGTTGTTGAGAGAAACGCCTCACACCATCCGTTCCCGCACCACGTGCTGCCCTGCCATGAGTATGGGCATCCGATTCAAGCAGCAGATGCATGCAGGCCTGTAATGAGGCTTCTGTAAATTGGGCCACATGAAGGTAGAGGTGACGGGAAACTGTCTGCCTAACTCCTGCAACTCACCTCTGCACGCCATCGCCCCCCCTCTCCTCTGCGACTCGCCTCCGCCACCTCCCTTGCAGCCCCAGCGCTCATGACATGCACCACGTACAGCCAGGGGTGCTGCCTTAAGGGGCCACAAGGTCACATAGCCCTACCTCCCCGCCCCACTCCTGCGCCTCACCTCTGCACCTCGCCTCCGCCACCTCCCTGGCAGAGCCAGCGCTCATGACATGCACCACGTCCAGCGCTCACCAGGTCATATAGTCAGCCGCACCCCTACTCCCTACCCCTGCACAGCGCCTCACCTCTGCGCCTGGCCTCCGCCACCTCCCTGGCAGCCCCTGAGCTCATGACATGCGCCACGTACAAAGGCACCCCCACCACATTCGCCAACCGAATGGCCCTGCCTGTCGCCTCCTCCTCCACCTGCAACCACAGTGCGGTGCCAGGCGCAGAGAGTTGGCGTTGCTCTAGTGACGGTTGGGATAGGAGGGTTGATGGCAGCGTGGGACAGGGGTTGCGCCTCAGCAAGAGCAGCAGGAGTGGGAGCTCTCAGGATTGAAATGAGCGCACACACCTCAGGAGGGCGGGACAAGGGGTGGCCTTCAGGGCCAGTGATCCCAAGGTCGAATATATGCTGCTGCCCCCACACCACTGCATCGCCGTTCTCTGCATGCACCTGTGCGCACACTCATATGGAGAGAGAAGAAGAAGGAGCGACAAGGAAGGGAGGTCAAGTTGTGAGATGTGGTGACGCCTGGTCACCTGGTCACCTAAGGGGCAGAGCATGGGTGCAGCATGTGACCGACCTGGGGGATGGCGCCAAGTTGCTTGCAGTGAGTGAACCCGTCAAGTAGCTGCTGGTCGTCCACCTGCAGTGCGCCCTTGTACGCCATGAAGAACTTGAACGAGTTGATGCCTGGTAGGGGATGGGATGTGCGATTAGGGGGTTGGGAAGGAGCAGAGAGAGTTTAAGGAGAGGAGTCGCATTTGATACGTCTTGGACTCGTCCATCTGCAGAGCGCCCTTGTACGCCATGAAGAACTTGAACGAGTTGATGCCTGGTAAGCATGGGATGCGGAGGTAAAAGAGTTGGAGAGGAATTAGGGGCAATAGCAACGAAGGGTTTGAGACGTCTCCAGGCTCGTTCCATCTGCAGTGCGCCGTACGCCATGAAGAACTTGAATGAGTCGATGCCTGGCAGGCATGGGTGCAAGGCAAGGATAGCAGATGCATGGCGTATCATGAGCATGGTATCAAGAGGAGAGGAAAGCTTGTGCACGCCTGCCTGACACGGGGGTATGCAGACCAGGGAGTTGCACCTCATCGCACCTCATCGCACCACACCTCACCTCGCCTCACCACCTCCTCCATGTCCCGCGCCACCGCCTCACTCCACCGCGTGACACCCATGTGAAACCCATAGTCCATCACGGCGTTGCCCCTTGCCTTCCCCTCATACTCCGCCAGGATCCGCAGCAGATCCTCCCCTGCAGCGGGCGTGGCTCCCAACACATAGTCAATGTGGAAGGTGGTGCCGCCTGCCAGTGCTGCTGCCTGGCCCGAATAGAAATCGTCGCATGATTCTGTCCCCATGAAGGGCATGGCCAGATGGGTGTGCGGGTCTATGCCTCCTGGGGAGAGAGAGAGAGAGAGAGAGAGAGAGAGAGAGAGAGAGAGAGAGAGAGAGAGAGAGAGAGAGAGAGAGAGAGAGAGAGAGTGACGGGAGGGAGCGGAGAGGGGAGGGGAGGGGAGGGGAAGGAAGTGGAGCAGGTGGGGAAGTGTGGGTTGGAAATGGGGAGCGAGGGGAACAGGGGGGGAGAAGAAAGCATAGTCGATGTGGAAGGTGGTGCTGCCCGGCCATCATCGCAGGACTCTGTTCACATGAAGGGCATGGCCAGATGGGTGTGTGTGAGGGTCGATGCCTCCTGGGGAGAGAGAAGGAAGGGGAGGTAGAGCAAAGAGCGGGTTGTGAAATCTTGGATGTGCAGGGTGGCTCGGTCGCTTGGCAGCACTGCTGCCTGGCCAAAGTAAGAATGCTACATGAATTTGGCCCCCGTGAACTCGTCATAACAAACTCGACCCTATGAACTCAGCCCCGTTAACACGTCACAACGAACGGCGAGTAAGTGTGCATGTATCCAATACATTCCGTGCAACCCCACGAACATTCAATGGCACCTGGCATGACGTATTTCCCAACAGCATCGATCTTCTGAACCCAATCTGGAACCTGCCAGCCACGTCAGCAGAGCCAAATCATAACAGACAGCATGAACACTTTAGTAGCAAGACGAGTCATATCACACCAGATTTGCAAAGCATGCAGCGAAGATTGTAAAAAACAGTGATTTTACGTAACCTGAATCGTTACGGATGAAAGGCATTCTTTGCACTCAGAATTGGTATGGTCACGTTTGGAGCGGAATTCCCCGAGCAGGACACGTCACCTTGATGTTTGGCCGAACGAGCTTGATGGTTCCATCCTCTATATAAACGTCAGCAGCGAATTCGCTGTCCGCGTTTACGACAGTGCCTCCTGCTATTAGCAGGTGCGAGCGAGCTTCAGGCGACGGCGAGATTACGTCAGAAGACACGGCGGAGCAAAATGGGGGTGACGGTGACGATGACGGTGACGGAGACGGAGCCGCCTGGTACATGAATGAATTTACCAAGAAACCGTTAGCAGCTGACACATGTCATGGACGAGGGAACGTGTCAATGCCATTGTAAAGCCCTCGATATTAGAATCAGTATGTGATAATGCGAGCTAGTGAAACCAAGAAAGATAACAAGCTACCTCGGTTGCTCAACCTCGTAACTGGAGCAATGAATCACGCACAAAGCACCGACACTAACGGCTACAAGCAGAGACGTGAATTCCTTGCAACCTAGCCAGAAAGCCCTATCTATCGCGAAGCGCGGCAAGACGGAGAATAGAAAGCAGACACATAAGCACGATACGGACTACATGAAAGCCACTAGCGGCTAACGAACCTTGCAAGAAGAGACGGAAACGACTAGCCAAAGCGCCAGGACCATCAAGCGCATGGCTTTCATGGCTGCAATCGCCTAGCGACGCCTGAAAAGCGAAATCTAACGACTGCTGACGAACGACGAGCGACAGTCGCTTAGAAAGGCCTTCTTGGGATTAGCAGCTGTGGAAATGGCAGTATGTGGTAATGCGACTGGCTGGCGGCAACTCTGGCGGCGAGCAAGTGGGAAATTGGTTTTCAACTGGGAATGCGACTTCAATATTGTTCCCGCCCCTTGGGAACTCAGTTCCAATTTAAGTCCGAAGTACTGTACATCTTCATTCGTGATGCTTTCATAAACATTTAGCGACAAATAGTTTATTTACAATGACAAACATTGTAGCAAGTCGGAATATTCTGGTTTGAGTACGAGCATGTCAGCAACACGGTTCATTAAAAGACGCGGGAAATAGAGTTACGTTGTTAATAAGTCATTAACGATATTTCCAATAACACATGATGTGTTCCTCTTGTCGATCATAAGTCGGGAAACCGAAAATGGGGTTCCTTGTTCTACTCCAGGCACTATCCAGCTTCACCCGTTGCCACCACTTAACCTCTCGGCTATCCCTTCAGGCGTGCATTTCTACAAGGAAGGAAGAAGAAGCAAGGGTGAGGGAGGGAGGTAAGTTAGTGGGGGAGGTCACAAAAAGTGGCAGGAAGGTGACAGATGCATGGAATAATGAAGGTTTAGGTGGAGGCATGAGGTGGAAGAAGGAAGATGGACGAGACCAAATGTATCCGCATTGATGAATCATGCAGGCAAAGTCAAGTACGCATTTTCTACTAGACTCACCTAACCTGCTCTTTCTCACCACGGCAGCAGACAACTCACCTCAGCAGATGCCCCTTTCGTCCATGGCTTTAAGGCCGGACACCTCCTTGCCGCCTCCGCCAGCGCAGCCACCCCCTCCTCCCTTTCCCACCAGCTGTCACTTGGCTCGGCCAGCGTACACGTGGCGAACCCTGATTGGCTGAAACCAGGGAAGCGTGCCAGCCTGGCGGTCTCCACGGGGAGGTTGATCCCCGGGCGAGAGGATGCGACGCTATTGGCTGTGGCGGTGTTAACCCGGCGCGGGTCGAGGATGTAGCGCCGTGTGCCTTCCTCGTCCAGGCACTGGCTGGGGCTGTAGACGTCTGTAGCAGAGCACACGGGGTGGGGCCACCTGCGAGGAAGCACGAGAGGGAGAGGGAAAGTAAGGAAGGGGTGAGCCCTCTTTGTCCAGGCACTGGCTGGGGCTGTAGACGTCGGTAGAAGAGCGCATGGGGTGGGGCCACCTGGGGCAAGAACGTGAAGGGGAGTGGAGTTCGGGGTTGGGGAAGAGTGGGGAAGTGCAGAAGGGGAGGTAGGAGAGGAGTTAGCAGCTGGAACCTTGATCGTCCAGGCATTGGTTGGGCTGTAGACGTCTGTAGCATTGCACAGGTGGGGACGGGCCACCTGCGGGAAACGCGAGGTTAAGAAGGAAGAGGGAGGTTGCATACAAAGTGAAGGAGAGAAGGGTGAAGGGGTAGTAGGGACTTGTTGGGCTGTTCGTGATGCAAAAGCAGTCTGTTGCTCTGCGCATTTCTGTGCAATACTTCCACACCAATGTGAACCGCACCTTCACCCACCAACACCACATTTCACCCACCTGAACCGCATCCTTTCCACAGCAAAAGCAGATTTGGCCTCATTAGCAGCCATCGCAGCAGCTCGCTTCCTCTCCTCCTCCCCCTCCTCCCCGCCCCCATTCCCCTCGCCCCCTCCCCCACCCTCCCCCTCCCCCTCCCCCCTCCCTGCTGCCTGCGGTGGCAGCTGTAGCGGCGAGCAGAAGGAGCCGTTGAAGGCTGTAGCGCCAAAGGTCAGCCACGGGAGCGACTCGTGCTCCTGTAGCAGCGCTGGCAGCGAGAGGGGCGGCGGGATTTGGAGGTACTCGTCGATGTCAGACACGAGCAGCCAGCGGGCGGCGTTGCGCGTCCGGTATATGCAGTCTTGGATGGCAAGATGCTGGGCGGGTTGGGGAGCGAAGGGGTGGGGTGAGGAGAGGGGTGGGTTGAGGTGAAGGGGTGGGGTGAGGGGCAGGTGAAGGCTGGATTCCCATGGATGGACAGAAGGGCAGGGCGGTAGTAGAAATGTTTATTTAGGCTCCTAGTAATTTTGTTTCCTATGGATCGATGGGCATAGGGGGCAAGAAGGGAGAGAGAATGTTGCCACAACTTATCACCCCCCACCCCCTGTCCCCTTCAACATACCTCGCCGTAGTTCCACACGTCCCACTGCAGCACCTCTCTGAACCCCCACGTCACTACACCACACCTCTCTTGACCCAAGCACCAAGTACATCGTGCTCTCATCCTGACGATACAGCCATCCCACACAGGCCAATCACCCCCCAGAACGCAATAGTTACATACCTCGCCATAGTTCCACACGTCCCACTGCAGCACCTCTCTGAACCCCCACGTCACGTCCACCATGCCTCGCTTCACCCGCGGCGCCAGCACCCGCTGCACCTCCTTGTGCGCCGCCCCCGCCTCCCCATTGCCCGCGATCCCCCCCGCATCGTAGAGCAGGAAGCGGTCCACAGGGAGGAGGACCCGGTGGAAGTGCAGCCACTCTAAGAGCCTCCTGGCGTCGATGGTGCCGTGGATGGGGGAGACACACGCTGCTACGTTGAGAGGGAGAGGCGAAGGAGGTTCCAGAGGCTGCAGGGGAAGGGAGAGCGGAGACGAGAAGGGAAGTGTGGTTTCAGGGAGAGAGGGATTGGTTGAGAACCCCACGCCTCCCCATTGCCCACGATGCCTCCCGTATTGTAGAGCAGGAAGGAAGCTGTCCACTGGGAGCAGCACGCGGTGGAAGTGCAGCCACTTGAGGAGCCTCCTGACGTCGATGCTGCCGTGGATTGGGGAGATGCACGCTGCTATGTTGAGAGGGAGGGGTGAAGGAGGATCCAAAGGCTGGGGAAGTGGGTGGGGGGATTTACTCGGAACCACACTGGCGTTTTCGGAGGAAGCCCCACACCATCAACACCCCCTCTCTCCCCTAACTACATAATAGAAAAGAAAATGGTCGACAGGGAGGAGGGCGTGATGGCAGTGCTTGGTAGGGTGGGGTTAATGGGATAGCAGTGAGTGGGGTTGAGGGGGAGAGCAGCGAGCAGCGAGCAGTTTTGTGGGGGTTGTGCTCTAGATGCAAGTGTGCGTCAAAGACAAAGTGGGGGCTAGTGAGTTTGCGAGAAGAGTGGGAGTTGGTGTGGAGACTCGAGAGTGAAAAGAGAGAAAGGCTGGTGGTGACAGACAGTTGGTGTGGGTGGAGAGTGGGATAAGGCGGGCCGTCAAGGCAAGGAGCAGAGATATCTACGACCTGTGATAGCCATACAACAGGATAGGTAACAGATCTCACCTCACTCGCCTCCTCTCTGTACGGGTACAGTATCTCCTGCTCTATCCTCGCCTCCAGGTGGCCGCCTGCTGCCTTGGTGGCACTGTCGAATGTGCACAGCAGCACTGCCACGTCATACTGCCACGTAGGCATGGAGTGGGGAGCAGAGTAAGGGGTGGGAGAAGGCAGTAGGAAAGAGGGGAAAAAAAATCTGTAAACTGCATATTCTTAAAATAATCAATAACAGAATCAATATCACTGTCATAATGTGCTGGGAATAATAGATATGATATACATGCATCCTCATCAACTTGTCATTGATCAGAACACAGCTACCTCCCAAGCCAGCCAGCCAGAAAGCCAGTCAGCCAAAAAGCCAGCCAGCCAGCCAGGCAGGCAGGCAGGCAGGCAGGCAGGCAGGCAGGCAGGCAGGCAGGCAGGCAGGCAGGCAGCCCTTTGGCTTCACAATGTGGGTGTTTCCTCACGAGTCTGAGGGTGGTATAGCCTGAAGGCCATCATCCATCCACTGGGGGTGACTTTTGAACTGCAACCTCTGATCTGATGGGGCCGGACCATTCGCATACAAGCCATGCCCTCGCAATGTAGTTATGGTGCTTTGCCCATCAGCCTAGTGGGCTTACGATGTAGTTGTGATGCTTGCCCACGAGGCTGATTGTGAGGTCTCCAGTGATATGCGAGCCATCAAAGCCATGCCACTCAAGCCATGCTACTCAAGCCGTGCTACTCAAGCCGTGCCACATGCTTCAAGGCAACTCAGAAACACATCACCTCTCACTATACAGAACAACGCATGGGCTTACGATGTAGTTGTGATGCTTGCCCACGAGGCTGATTGTGAGGTCTCCATGGACACGAGAGCCATCGGAGCCGTGCCACGTGCAATCGGTGAGGCGCGTGTTGCCCTCCATGTCCACCGGCACCATGCCTATTATGGCTATTCGCCGTGCACTCATGCGGTATGCACTGGGGGAGACAGGGGCGAGGGGAATAGGGTCAAGAGATTCAATGAAGACAAATGAGGCTCGTGCTGTCCTCCATGACCACCAGCACCATGCCCATTGCCCGCTATGGCTATTCGCCATGCATTCATGCGGTACGCACTGAGGAGTGCAGGGGGAAATGGGGAGAGGGGAATAGTGTCAAGAGAGTTAATGGAGTCAAATGAGGCGCGTGCTGTCGTCCATGACCACCGGCACAACACCCACTATGGCTATTCGCCATGCACTCATGCGGTATGCACTGGGGGATGCAGAGGGAAATGAGGGGAGAGGAAGCTGGTCAAGAGGGTCAACGGAGTCAATGGAGTCAATGGAGTCAACGGAGTCAATGGAGTCAATGGAGTCAATGGAGTCAACGGAGTCAATGGAGTCAACGGAGTCAATGGAGTCAACTGAGGCGCGTGTTGCCCTCCATGGCCACTGGCGGCACCATGCCTATTATGGCTATGCGCCACGGGCTCATGCGCTATGCACTGGGGGATGTAGGGGAGAGGTGGGAGGGGAATGAGGGAAGAGGATGAGGGTAAAGAGAGTCAATGGATGGAGTCACACATGGCATGGTTCACTGGCACCATGCCTATTATGGCTATGCGCCATGCACTCATGCGGTATGCACTGGAGAGTGAGGGAGAGAGGAAGAAGGTCAACTATGGCTATGAAATCAAGCTGCGCTCACCTGAATTTGATGAAGCCGTAGGCGCCATAATTCTCAAACACGCGCTGCCGCCAGTACTGCGGGCGGTCGTCCGTCATCTTCCACCGCCTGAACCCGTTCCTCCGCCACGGCCAGTGGTATACCCCACTCCCCCACCCTCCCCTGTTACTGCTGCCACTGCTGCTTCTGCCGCCACTGCTGCTGCTGTCGCCACTGCTGCTGCTGCTGCTGCTGCCGCCAGCTTCAGCAACACCAGCTGTAGACTCACCTCAACTTTGTGCTCACCTGACCTTCGAACTCACCTGAACTTCGGGCTCACCTGAATTTGACGAAGCCGTAGGCGCCGTATTTCTCAAACACGCGCTGCCGCCAGTACTGCGGGCGGTCGTCCGTGATCTTCCACCGTCTGAACCCGTTCCTCCGCCACGGCCGGTGGTATACCCCGCTCCCCCGCCCCCCACTGCCACCGCTGCTGTTGTTGCTACCACCGCCATCTTCAGTAACAGCTGCAGCAGTGGCGGCGGCAGCGGTGGCGGCAGCGGTGGCGGCAGCGGCAGCCCGAGCGTTTTTCTGCCGTGCCTGCTGCTGGAGAGAGGAAAGGATTCGGATGAGGGTGGAAAGACACAGCAGGGATGATTTGATCTTTGATTCGACTCACAAATCGGCAGCGGCAGCCTGAGTGTTGGCGTTGCTCTGCCGTGCCTGCTGCTGGAGAGAGGAGAGGAGAAGATGAGGGTGGAAAGAAGGAAGCAGGATGAGGACAGAGAGGGAGGTTTGGGGGAGGGTGAGGAGGGAGGGGGGTTGAGGAGAAATGGGGATGGGAAAGGCTTGCAGCTTTGCGGCCTTGCTGCTCCCCAGCTCCCTCACTGCCTTGGATTGCTGGCCGCAACTCATGGGTTGGGTTCTACGCTGCTTTTGCTTCTGACTTAACTCACCCATAGGAAAAGAAAGAAAGAAAGAAACAAAGAAACAAAGAAATAACAAAAAGAAGAAGAAAATATAGAAGGAAGGAAGGAAAGGACGATAGAAATAGCTGCTCACATGCAGCCGAGCCTGCAGGTTCTCACCCTCCATCGCCCTCGGCTCACCTGCAGCCGAGCCACGGCCGCCATCTGCTGAGCAAGCTCCTCGCCCTGCAGTGGCTGCAGCCCCTCCTGCCCCATCAGCTAAGTTGAACAGCCAATAGAACCCTGCTTGCCACCTTTCCCCACGTCCCACCCACCTGCAGCCGAGCCACAACCGCCATCTGCTGAGACAGCTCCTCGCCCTGCTGCCGCACGCGGGCTTTAAGCTCTTTGATCTCCGCCTGCAGCTGCTGCAGCCCCTCCTGCCCCTCCCTCAGCACCTGCCCCGCGTCTCCTGCCGCCTTGATGCTTGCCTGGCGCAGCTGCCCCACCTCCCGCGCCACCCCCTCCATGCCTGCAGCCAGCTGCTGCCGCACCTGCTCTGCATCCTCCTTCATGGCGCCTGGAGGGCAGCAGGCATGGGGTAAGGCAGAGGGGGGGAGAGAGGATGGGGGAAAGCAGATTGTGGGGGAGGACATGGGGGGAAGAGAGAGGGCAGAAGGACGGTGAATTGAAAGGGTTCTTCCCCAGGGTTTCATGAAGAAAAAGAAGAAGGCAAGGGGCTTTCAACAGTTCATATGTCCTACGGCTCTTGAATTCCGCAAGGGGAAAGAGCGGGCTTACGGTGGAGAGCAGCAATGTCAGCTGCAGTGTATGCCAGCATGGCACGCTGACTCAGCTTCGTCCCGATTGGCTGCTGCAGAATGGTATTCCAGGATAGAGTGCAAGAGGGAAATGAAAGAGGGTAAGGAGGACTAAGGAGGCAGCCGTTGATGATGGCAGTGAGGAGGGTGAGGAGAGTGGAGATGCTAGAAAAGGGACAGAGAGAAAGAGGCAGGGTACAGTAATATCGTGTTAGAGAAAGTGGTGGTTGTAATGGACAGCAAGTGGCGGGTATCATGTGTCACATCATGTATCATGTATCATGTATCATGTATCATGTATCACATAATGTATCATACATCATACATCATACATCATACATCATACATCATACATCATACATCACATCATACATCACATCATACATCACATCACGCATCGTACACAGATCACACGTCATGCACCACATGATGCGTACTCCGGTCTTTGCAAGGGCAGCAAAGCCCTCGGGTGGCAGGTCCACGGCGCTGAGCTTCTCCACCCATGTCACTCGCAGCTGGCCGTGGGGCATGCCAGGCGGTACACGGCCATGCAGACGCACAGGAGAGCATGGACATGGGCATGGGCATGGGCATGGGCATGGGCAAGGGCATGGGTATGGGCATGGGCATGGTTGAGTGTGGTGGCATGCGTTTGTATGGGAGATGCAAGGAGATGCATGAAGGACGCGTGGCATTAGTTGCTGTTCTGCGCATGTCATGATCCATGCATGATGGTTGGTACATTGATGCACGGCATGGTACATCGATCGGTGGAATGGTTCACTGATGCATGCCATGACTCATTGTTGAATGGCATGTCCCATTGCTGAATGCCATGGGATGGCTCATTGATGCATGGGATGGCTCATCAAAGCATGGGATGGCTCATCAAAGCATGGGATGGCTCATTGATGCATGGGATGGCTCATCAAAGCATGTGATAGCTCATTGATGCATGACATGGCTCATTGATGCATGACATGGCTCATTAATGCATGACATGGCTCACTGATGCATAGCATCGTTCCTTGATGCATGGCATGGTGATGCAAATTCGGGCAACGCAGAGCATAAAAATGGGAAGCACAACTTGAATGACGAACCTGCAGCAGCGAGACGAGGAAGAAGAAGGCGAGAGCGGCGAGGAAGAGGTATTGCTCCTGCCGTGCATGACAGTTGGAGGATGACAGCAGGGGAAAAGGGAGCATGAGGCATGACACTTTCTGAGGCAGCTTGAAAAAAGCAAAAGAAGGCGAGCATGGCGAGGAAGAGGTATTGCTCCTGTCTTGCCATGCACCACATCGCAAGGCACGCGTGGTGCCACGGGTAGGTGGTAAGAGGCGGTGGTACGAGGGAGTGGTGAGAAGGGTGAGCGGGTATGGTAAGCAGGCGACGTAAGAAGCTACGTGGCTGTTCAGCGACGATGTTGCGCAACGGAGTGCATTGTAAAGGGGTTTGCGAAGACGGAGTTTCGGGAATGGAGAGACAGCGTTGGGCGCTGCCATGCAAGGGCGATGGCATGATCAGTGGAGTGCTGCCGACGCACAATCTCATTCTCACGCCTAAGAGAAAACTTTCCACATGCACGGCTGGTCGGGGCTCGTCCATTAGCGTGTGCGATGGACGACCTTCAATCAACGACCGATCGGCAATCGTCCAAAGCTACAAGGTGAAGCTTTGGGCTCAATAGGGAAAAAAAATATGCTACCTCCTTTGAGGGACTCACTGGCAGGAGAATGCGAGACATGCTGGCCTTTCAGCAATGCGGGTTTAGCGACGTTATGTTTAGCTTGAAAACCATTTACACAAACATCAGCGACGTTATGTTTAGCTTGAAAACCATTTACACGAACGCTGGAGGACTAGTCGAGTCGTGCAATTCTTTTCTTAGGCTTCGTTCTACTTTACATAAGCGCTGCGCTTCTGGACGCGTAATGCGGTCGTCTGGTGTCTCGCGTGCGAAATTCTCGCTGAAATGCCACAATCTCGAGGCGCAGCAGCTGACTCGTTCCAGGAAACGCTATCAAGGTCCTCATGCTGACCGCCCCTATCCCTCACGAGTGTTGTCGTCCGTACTCCTTATGAAACAGTTGAACAAGAGGAAAGGAGATGCCTGATTTGATTGCCATGCGAAAGGAATTCCAGTTGATCGAGGATTCCAGTAAACAGTGCCTGCCTGGTCTTTGTCGGTTCGGAACAAACCTACTTGAGCTAGCTCGATATTTGACTATTGCACCACAATACTACAAAGGACGGAATGAAGGTTATACTACCTTCAATACAGCTGGTTTTCTGAATATTAGTCACTATATAGGCAAGGGGACGCATCTTATATGCAAGCGCTAAAAAAAAATCAAATTCAAACATACGTAAAATCACATTACCAGTAGAGATAGGATGGAAGTTCAGATTCAAATATGTCTAAGTCCACATACAATATAGGGAGCATAGCGTAGTGCGGGGTTTTAATCAGCACACCAGGATTACTAGCGAGAACAACCTGACAGAATCTTACGGGCTACGTGGCGCTGAAGGTGTTCGCCACGTAGAGAGTGGGGTGTGCTGCGAAATCAAACAGATTCTTTTGATATTATATCCTGTTCGCAAGAGGGTGTAACCAGACTTGGAAGGTCAATGCGAAATACGATACTTTTTGGGCTCGCCTGCTTGCGTGTACGCAGCATGAACCACGTCATCCAACCTCCAAAGTCACCCCACCATCCAAATCCTTCCCCTTGGGACTGACACAAAAATTCGTGCTAGAACGAACTTGCTGCATTCTTGAGAGACTTCAATTCAAGTCAGTGAAGAGCTAGCCGCAAGGCTTGTTCGCCAGTCTAGTTCAAATCTCAGGATTGCCATAGCTGCTCATTCCTGCACACTAACCAGAGAAGGTTTCTCTTTCTTCTCGTCATCCTCGAAGCCCGATGGCCACCATGTCGCTTCAAGCTCTCTCGTCCGCGTCCACGCTCGTGCCGTCGCCATCCCTTCTAAAGGCTACCGCCACCACGAGGACAAATGCCCCGGTTGCGTCGAAGCGGACTGTCGTGCGCGCTCTCAAGGTGCGGAGATATCTACTGTGCCGCTCCCCTGCTACTGCCGTACAGTGAAACCAATTTGCTTCTCAAAAACACCTTCTTTTCTGGTTCTTTCCGCCCCCACATGTTCCTGTTGAGCAGAGTGACAGTACTGAGAGCGGGCGCGAGCAGGAAGGCGGGAGCGGCGCCTCGTGGGGGGAGCGATGGCGGCAGCAGCACGCGGCAGCGGCGGTAGCGCTGGCGGCAGCAGCTGCTGTGGCGGGCCCGTTTGTGCCTGACGCGGCATTGGCATACATCGTACGTGAAGTGATGTCTATGGGTCGGGTCTGGAATTCAGGGGAAATGAGAGTTTTCGAGCGAAAGAGAAGATTAATGTGAATTCGAATTCTGGGGCCATGGGGAATGAGAGGTAATTCGACAGAGCGTGAGGATTGTTGTCGTGAGCAGTGGCAACAGCATCGCGCGCCAGCGTTGCAGGGTGTTTTTTTAGAATTCTCAAAAACACTCTGCAACATCATTGTTGTTGTGAGCAGTGGCAACAGTATCGCGCGCCAGCGGCTGTGAGGGATGAGAGGGTGAATGAGCGGAAGAAAGGATAACTCGGCTGTGGCGGGCCCCTTTGTGCCTGACGCGGCATTGGCATACATCGTACGTGGAACGCGAATGAGGTGTTACTTGCGCACCATGCACATGCGTACCTGCATTACGGTAATCTCCCTGTATCCGCCCTTCCTTTCAACACATCCTCCGCTCCGCCGTCCCTGTCTGCCCGTGCGTCCCAGGGAGGAGGTCCGTACGGTCGCGAGGTGACACGTGGCCAGGACCTGACGGGACGAGACTACAGCGGGCTGGACCTGCGCGGGCAGGACTTCAAGACGGTGGGTTGGTTTGATCTGGAAACCGCTCCGTTGACTTGCGTCGACTTGCGCTGACTCTCGTTGACGTGCGCTGACGTGAGAAGGAAGGCATGCGATTGGGGAGTCCTGTTTAGAATGAATGAGAGAAGCCGTCGATTGATCTGTCTCTCTTACGGTTCTCTGGGTCTGGGCGTGGCCTCACTCGCCCAGCTCCCAGCCAACTCGTGCTGCTCTCCCTCTTACAGTCTCGCCTTGTCGGCCAACCGTCCCATTTTGTGACCTCCCACCTCCCTTTCCCTCCCCCACTCCCCTTAACGCTTCGTTGTCCCCTTCTCCCCTTATTCCCCTCCACGACCTGCCTCCATCTTCTTCATCCCCCCGTCTCCACCTCCCTCCACCTCCCTCCACCACTCTGCATCCCCCACCTCCCGGCCCGCCCACAGTCCATTCTACGCCAGGCGAACTTCGCCGGTGCGAATCTCATAGGGGCTTCCTTCTTCGATGCCGACCTCACAGGTACCACCTCCCCCTGTCTTCTCACAGGTACCACCTCCCCTTGCCGCCTCACAGGTACCACCTCCCCTTGCCGCCTCACAGATACCACCTCCCGTGCTGCCTCACAGGTACCACCTGCCGTGCCGCCTCACAGGTACCACCTCCCCTTGCCGCCTCACAGATACCACCTCCCGTGCCGCCTCACAGGTACCACCTCCCCTTGCCACCTCACAGGTACCACCTCCCCTCGCCGCCTCACAGGTACCACCTCCCTCTACCCTTGCCAATGCCACCTCACAGATGGCACCTTCCCCGCAAGGAAGGACCCCGCAGAGAAACATTTCCACCTCCCTCTACCCTTGCATATGCCATTTCACACCTAGCAACCGAGGTAACACCTCTACCACTGCGCGAATAAACCTGCGCAAATAAACCTGCGCAAATGAGCAAATGAAATCGCGCGAATGAAACCCTTGCAGGTAAACAAACCCTCGCCCTCCAATCCCATTGTTGAACGCTTTCACCAGTGCACAGGTAGCACCTTTGGAGAGGGGAATGCATCGCGCCCTCCATCTTCCCCTCTCCCCTCTACCCCCTCTCCACTTCTCCTTTCTCTCTCGGGATCTATTCCATCAACCTTGCTTTGCTCGCCAACCTCGTACCTCCCCCCCCTGGTTCATCCCCCTCTTCACTCCTTGAGGGGACTTCACACCATCCGTCTCTGTGTTCTCGGCTCTCCCCACACACACACATCAGGAGCTGACTTCACGGGTGCCAATCTCACTGCGGCTGACTTCTCCCTCACCAGCGCAAACAAGGTGCGCACTCAAAGGAATAGCCACCTGATGAAAGTGTTATTTTGAGACGTCTCAAAACTTCACGGGTGCCAATCTCACTGCTGCTGACTTCTCCCTCACACAAGGTGCGGACAAGGTGTGGACTCCAAAGCAGCGCAAACAAGGTGCGGACTCAAAAGCACCGCAAACAAGGTGCGGACTCAAAAGCAGCGCAAAAAGCAGTGCAAACGAGGTGCGGACTCAAAAGCACCGCAAACAAGGTGTGGACTCAAAAGCACCGCAAACAATGTGCGGACTCACAAGCACCGCAAACAAGGTGGGGACTCAAAAGCACCCAGCGCAAACAAGGTGCGGACTCAAAAGCAGCGCAAAAAGCAGCGCAAACAAGGTGCGGACTCAAAAGAAGCGCAAACAAGGTGCGGACTCAAAAGCACCCAGCGTAGCCAAGCTGGGAAAAGGTGCGGTGGGTGGCACCAAGGCGGCGTTACACCCGTCCTGATTCCTGATGCCCTTGCGTAATCCTGCTGTTTTTTTATTTTTCTTTGATGACCTTCTTTGCTTGATTCCCCTCTTGCTCTCTCTCCTCCCCTCCTCCCCTCCTCCCCTCTCCCTGCTGTAACCTGTCTTCTCCCACGCCTGTCCTCGAGGCGCCTCATAAACAAACCCTTTCCCACTTGCCCTCCTTGCCCTCCTTGCCTTCCTTGCCTACCTTGCCTGCTTGCCCACTGGCCATTAACCACTTGCCCACTTGCTCCGCTGCTGCCGCTCGCACTCACCTCCCTCTGCATCAGGCCAGCTTCACCAACGCCATTCGGGAGGGCATCTCATTCACCCGCATTGATACATCTCAGCAGTTGTTTGTGAGGGGTCTTGAAGTTTGCAAGACGTCTCAAAACTTAATGCAACACGCACTCTCCCTACCGCCCTGCATCAGGCCAACGTCACCGATGCCATTCGGGAGGGCGTCTCGTTCACCGGCGTCGAGTCGTCTCGACTTGCTGCAACCCGCTCACCCCCATCCCCCACCCATCCCTCCCCTCCCCCTGCATCAGGCCAACTTCACGAACGCCATACTGGAGGGCATCTCATTCACTGGCAACACGTCCTTCAAAGGCGCTATCATCACCGGTGCTGGTCAGTCACGCTCTTCCACCCATTTACTCACTCTAGCTCTCACTTCCACCCTCACCCTCACCCTCACCCTCACCCTCACCCGCACCCTCACCCTCACCCTCACCCTCACTCTCCTTCACCGGCAACATGTCCTTCAAAGGCGCTACCATCACCGGCGCTGGTCAGTGCTGCACTCCCTCCCTCTAGCACTCACTCCCATTCACCCTCCTTCTCTTGCTGCCACTCTCTCCCTCGCCTTCACCCGCAACGCGTCCTTTCAAGGGCGCCATTATCACTGGCGCTGGCCAGTCACACGCTCTTCCACCCACTTAACTCACTCTAGCGCTCACCCCCACCCTCACCCTCACTCGCCTTCACCCGCAACGCGTCCTTCAAGGGCGCCATTATCACCGGCGCTGGTCAGTGCTGCACTCCCACCCGCGCCCTCGCTCTCCCGCTCTCTGCCCCTCCCTCACCTACTTCACTAGCCACGTGATAATAAGCTTTTTTTGAGACGTCTCAAAAGCAACATCTCCTCGAACAAATCAGCCCTTGATGTCGCTGGCTCTCCTCTCTCTGAGATTTGGGGTTGTTTTCGACAACAGATACGTGACTGTGTGCATGTGGTGTGTGTGGGGTGCATGTGGTGTGGGGTGCATGTGGTGTGGGGTGCATGTGCGTGTGGGGTGCATGTGCGTGTGGGGAATGTGGTTCACTCACCACTCCATCCCCGTACCCATCCTCCATCCCCATACCCATTCCCGTCCCCGTGCCCATCCCCGTGCCCATCCGGTGCCCATCCCGTGCCCATCCCTATCCTCGCCCTGTTCCCGCCCCTCTCCCTGCGTCCGTGCCCATCCCCGTGCCCATCGCGCCTGCAGACTTCACAGACGTGTACTTCCGAGCGGACCAGAAGGCATACCTGTGCAGAGCCGCCGAGGGGTGAGTTGGGGTTGGGAGGCCAATGCAGCAGCAGGTAGGAGGAGCCAACATCTTGAGGGGTGCTACAGTTGCATGCTGCAGATCGGAGCCATAGTTCTTGAGGGGTGCTACAGTTGCATGCTGCAGATCGGAGCCATAGTTCTTGAGGGGTGCTACAGTTGCATGCTGCAGATCGGAGCCATAGTTCTTGAGGGGTGCTACAGTTGCATGCTGCAGATCGGAGCCATAGTTCTTGAGGGGTGCTACAGTTGCATGCTGCAGATCGGAGCCATAGTTCTTGAGGGGTGCTGCAGTTGCGTGCTGCATATCAGAAGGCGTACCTGTGCAGAGCGGCTGAGGGGTGAGTGTGTGTGTACGTGTGTGCCCACCATGCTCCCATGCCATGGCAATTGTGGGATGGTCCCTCCCACCGGAACCCCATGTTTTTACCACTTCTGCCCTTCTCTGATGCTTCCACACCACAACTTCTTTCCCCATTGCTTTCCTCCACCGTTCCTTCCAAAATCTGCCTTTTCTTCCACTTCTTCCCCCACCTGTGAGTTCCCTTGACTCAACCCCTTTCACCTTTCCCCCACCTTCCCCTCCACCTACCAAGCAGCACCAATCCTGTCACCGGCAACGACACCCGCGACACTCTTCTCTGCTAGCTGCTCTACTTCAGTCGCCATGGCCAAGTCTCTTTGAATCACCGTGCTTCAGGCCTTTGCACTACGTCTCTAGAGACCTGTTTCCTTAGAGTTGCATCCTTTCGAGTCGCTGCTCCAGTTTTAGGTGTTTACTCCAGTTTTCCCGAGCAACTAGGATCACTTCACACTGGTCCCTGCAGGTGCTGCAACTGCTTTTTCCTGCCCTCCTTCGTCTGAGGTATTGTGGAGACTGAACCAAGGTCAAGCCTGCGTCATCGCATGTACAGTACAATTGTTGAGCCAAACTGGTATAATGTTGTAAAAAACCACTGTTGACAGTACACTGTTGTCAGTCTACAAGACACGCACACAGAACAACACCCCCTGTACAGCAAAACAGTTACCACTTAGCCTCTATTGGAGTAGCATGTACAACGGTACCTACCACCAGAGCGACTACACCTTGAGTGTCAAGCTACAAGCGCAGACCTCCCACTATTAACAGCAATTTGAAACCCCAGCTGCCTTTGAGGCACTGCAAGGCATCCTGCGTAAAAATGGGATTTGCATGCCTACATGCCAGAGACAGCATGTCTATGCTGCCACCACATGCCTATCCATGCGATGGAATAGTACATGCGAGTCTGTGACCTGTCGCATGCCTATCGGGCCATCAGGCAGCCACTGACTGGGTGATCCGTACTGTGGATCACACTTGGAAGAGTTGACTTTTGAGTTGACTCAAAAGGCAGCCAGTGACTGGGTGATCCGTACTGTGGATCACACTTGGAAGAGTTGACTTTTGAGTCGACTCAAAAGGCAGCCAGTGACTGGGTGATCCGTACCGTGGATCACACTTGGAAGAGGAATCTGAGGTCTTCTGTTGTGAGGCGCGACCGCTTCATTGCCGTGGCTGACTCGCCGTAAGCACTCTCAATCATCGTGCGCTTCCGCTCCTGTTCGTGTGCCAGTGAGGTCATGAGAATTTTACACGCATTTTGGGGAGGGGGAGGGGGAGGGGGGGGGGTGGGGGGGGGGGGGGGGGGGGGAGGAGATGAGTTTAGCATGAGGCAAAGCGTGTTCGTTCCAGAGCAACTGAAGATGCATGTGAGACCAGCAGTTGAGAGAAACAGCACAGCACTGCCACCATCACCACCACGGTCGCTCTACAAACACAAATAGCACTTTTCACCAACCAACCACATTCCTTGTCCTGCCCTGCCTCACATCGCGCCATCACCACCACCTGACAGCGAACCTGCACCTCCAGTATGCTATCCTTTTGAGGCGCATCAAAAGTCACCACCACCTGACAGCGAACCTGCACATCCAGTATGCTGTCCTCTCTGGTGCCAGCCTCAATGAACAGAACCACGGGCGCAGAACAGACTTCACAGACCACACACCTTGTCGCTCTCAACAGACTTCACAGACCACACACCTTGTCGCTCCTCAACAGACTTCACAGACCACACACCTTGTCGCTCTCAACAGACTTCACAGACCACACACCTTGTCGCTCTCAACAGACTTCACAGACCACACACCTTGTCGCTCTCAACAGACTTCACAGACCACACACCTTGTCGCTCTCAACAGACTTCACAGACCACACACCTTGTCGCTCCTCAACAGACTTCACAGACCACACACCTTGTCGCTCTCAACAGACTTCACAGACCACACACCTTGTCGCTCTCAACAGACTTCACAGACCACACACCTTGTCGCTCTCAACAGACTTCACAGACCACACACCTTGTCGCTCTCAACAGACTTCACAGACCACACACCTTGTCGCTCTCAACAGACTTCACAGACCACACACCTTGTCGCTCTCAACAGACTTCACAGACCACACACCTTGTCGCTCTCAACAGACTTCACAGACCACACATCTTGTCGCTCTCAACAGACTTCACAGACCACACACCTTGTCGCTCTCAACAGACTTCACAGACCACACACCTTGTCGCTCTCAACAGACTTCACAGACCACACACCTTGTCGTTCCTCAACAGACTTCACAGACCACACACCTTGTCGCTCCTCAACAGACTTCACAGACCACACACCTTGTCGCTCTCAACAGACTTCACAGACCACACACTTACGCTTTCTCCAGTAGACGCCGGTGCAGGTGAAGGCAGTTCTGCAATTGTTTTGCGTGAGGCAGTTTTACCGGCAAAGACTTACGCGAAATATCGCAACCACAAGCGACGCCGCGATCTTGACGGTGCGAAACAATCTGCTCCAACTCACGCGACTACGAAGCAAGACAAGCAAGCGGAATCTCCTCCCGACATGGAAGTTGAGAACGAGCCGATCGCTGCAGCAGCCGGTTGCAGCGTTCCTACGGCTTCATCTGAGCAGTCTGTTACGATTCCTGAGCCTTTTAAAGGCTGGACTGCGAAGGCCGTCAAGGATTTTCGGTTCGATTTAAAAAACTACCTGAAGGCGAAGTCCAAGCTTAAGAAGATGAAGACTCTCGACAGCCAAGGTGTGATACTCCACAGCATCCGCACCAAGGTGGTCGAGTTTCAGACGAAGTACTCGAGCATTCGGGAGAAATCAGCGGCCTCTGTGGCTGCAATTCATCTCGAAAACCAGAAACGCATACAAGCGGACTTCATTAAGTCGAAGGAAATGGAGGTCGAGGAGATTTTGGCGGCTTCCGATTCACACCTCACTTCTCTGGCGGCCAGGCTTGAAGACCACATCAAGAGCTTATCGTCCGTACCTGAATTGGCGATTTCTGAAGTCGCTAAGGATAAGTTCAGGAAGATCAAGGTGCAGTGCATCGAGAAAGCTCGGTCTGAAATCGCCACCGCCAAGGACGACATCAAAGTCCAGGAGTTGCTGAGGCAGAAGTCCCGCGAAGCCGAGGAATTGAAGAAATCTGCTGCCGCTGAGGAGATGACTGGCATGGAGACAGGGCCGACGATCGACGAGATTGTTCGTCAGCAGGTGCAGAAGGCGAAGGCTGAGATCCGCAAGGAAGTTAAGGCGGAGTTCGAGGCCACCCTATCGGCGAAGCTGAAAGCGTTTTCGTTAGTCAAGCAGGATGCATCTATGGCCCCCGCAGCTGCTAATTCTAAGCCGAAAAGGGCGAAGAAGAAGCGTGGCGGCAAGAACAAGAAGAAAGCCAACACTCCCACGAACAGCAAGGAGAAGGGCCCTGAGACTACACCGTCGACCTCGAAAAAGGCCTGGGTTCCAAAAAACGGCGGCGGCGGCCCCGCAAAAGGGCCGCTAAAGAAGAAGTAACAGCACACGACCTCGCGCTCCGCTGGTTTGGCCGCTTGACTTTACGACAGGCGCAGTCTCGCATGCGGAACCTCGGAGTGCGCAACCTGAGTGCCAAGACCTTAACGTCGGACGAGCGTAAGGCACTCGGTTTGGGTTTGAAGTTTGTTCCTACTCCCGCCTGGAATCCTTCTGTCGCTACGGCCCTCGATCAGCTGCATCGACAGATTTCTCTTCATTTTTTCTTCAAGGAGAAAGGGAATCCAACCGCAGCTTCACGTTTTCGGGTGCGCAACCCGGGTTGGAGACCCGATCGGGATGAAGTCCCGGAGTCGGTTTTCAGAGAGGCGCACGAAGACCTCTCGTTCCTGATGAAAGCAGCGAAGCCGTTACGTGGATCGAACCTCTCACGAGGTGTACGTACAGCTTTGCGCTCCCTCGCGACAGACCGCAGCATCGTCATCAAGCCCGCGGATAAGAACCTGGGTCTCACCGTTATGGATCGGTCATACTACGTCAACCTTTGCATGGAGCACCTCTCGGATGACGCGGTGTATAGATCAGTTCAACACGATCCGACACCTAGTGTTCTGCAGCAGCTGCGATCTCTACAGTCGACTTGGGGACCGGCCCTTCCAGACAGCCTATGGAAGTATTTCTTTGATGAACCGTCGGGAGGGTGGAGACCGGCGGCCTTTTACATCTTGCCTAAGCTTCACAAGAGAATCCCCGTGGGGCGACCGATCGCAGCCTCACATTCATGGGTGACGACCAACGTGAGCAGGTGGCTGGATGCTGAATTACGACCGCTAGTTCTTAAGAGACAGACCTACCTCCGCGACTCTCTCTCTCTACTGACCACGCTCGAACGGACCCCCTTCCCCGCGACGGTCTTTCTTGCTACCTACGACGTCACCTCACTCTACCCCAGCATCTCCATTGAGCGAGGCCTCGAGGCGGTCAACTGTTTCCTATCGAGAGAGAACCCGCAGTTCGCACAACCTCTCATGGCTCTTCTGGGTTGGGTCATGAGGAACTCTTTCGTGGAGTTCAACGGCGAGGTGTTTCAACAGGTTCGAGGTACTGCTATGGGGACTCCTGTAGCTGTGTGCTTCGCCATCCTCTTCATGAGCCGTTTAGACGAACTGCTTAAAGAAAGGTGGACAGGGACGGAACCTTCCTACCACGTGCGCTATATTGATGATGGGCTAATCATTTGGCCCGGTACGCAGGCAGATTTGGAGGGCTACCTGCAGACCCTGAATGCGCTAGACCCGAACATTCGGGTTACGTGGACCGTCTCAGAGAGCTCGATCGACTTCCTCGACATGGTCCTTTTCAAAGGACCACGCTTCAAAGAGCACGGGATCTTGGACTTCGGCACCTTCCAGAAGCCGCTGAACAAGTACCTGTATCTGCCTTTTTCCTCCTTCCACCCACGCCACTGCAAGGAGGGGTTCATTCGTGCTGAGCTGAAACGCTACCTACTTCGTTCGACTTCAGCATCCACCTTCCTCGCAACGAAGTTGGCTTTCTTCCAGCGACTTCGAGATCGTGGTTACCCACCAGCTTTTCTACTCCCACTTTTCAAGCGTGTCTGTTTCGCTCAACGGCCCGACCTTCTCGCCAACATCGCCACCACCCAGTTACTCAAGCAACAGCAATCTCTCTCTTCCCATGGGCCCCTAGTTCTGAAGGCACAGTTCACTCCTTGGACTGCACGCCTCCGGCTAGGGGTCGTTTTGAGTCGACTCAAAAATAGGCTCATCACACACGGACTTTATGTTGAGAGAATTTTTGTTGCTTGGACAATTGGGTGTAGCTTATTAAAGCTTTTGGTGCGCGCGCGACTACCGAAGTCGTTACATGGCGAAAGGTTGGACTCTGCTCCCAACGATGACACCCTCGAGGGTTGAAGACGTGGCTCTTGGTGTTCACCAGAGCTACCTGGATTGGTCCCGAACTTTTTGGAACGGGCCAGGGTGTAGATAACCTTGAGTTTTGTGTTTCTTGGAGGCGTTAGCTTTTCTTTTTAAGGCTTCTGCTCCACTCTGTTTTTCATTCTCGTAGGCACTGATGAAGGCCTGGTAGGGGATGCCCTCCAGCCGAAACATGTTTGTCTTGTTTTATTTTTTTTTAACGAGAAGAGTTCCGGTTTCACAGACTCTCGGCTATCAGCTAGTGTTTAGAGTTTCACTGTTTTTCCTACTTGCTTAAGCTTAAACCTGGCACTGCTGCTCACTGGAATTATGTCAGGGGATCTACTTCACAGACCACACACCTTGTCGCTCTCAACAGACTTCACAGACCACACACCTTGTCGCTCTCAACAGACTTCACAGACCACACACCTTGTCGCTCTCAACAGACTTCACAGACCACACACCTTGTCGCTCTCAACAGACTTCACAGACCACACACCTTGTCGCTCTCAACAGACTTCACAGACCACACACCTTGTCGCTCTCAACAGACTTCACAGACCACACACCTTGTCGCTCTCAACAGACTTCACAGACCACACACCTTGTCGCTCTCAACAGACTTCACAGACCACACACCTTGTCGCTCTCAACAGACTTCACAGACCACACACCTTGTCGCTCTCAACAGACTTCGCAGACCACACACCTTGTCGCTCTCAACAGACTTCACAGACCACACACCTTGTCGCTCTCAACAGACTTCACAGACCACACACCTTGTCGCTCTCAACAGACTTCACAGACCACACACCTTGTCGCTCTCAACAGACTTCACAGACCACACACCTTGTCGCTCTCAACAGACTTCACAGACCACACACCTTGTCGCTCTCAACAGACTTCACAGACCACACACCTTGTCGCTCTCAACAGACTTCACAGACCACACACCTTGTCGCTCTCAACAGACTTCACAGACCACACACCTTGTCGCTCTCAACAGACTTCACAGACCACACACCTTGTCGCTCTCAACAGACTTCACAGACCACACACCTTGTCGCTCTCAACAGACTTCACAGACCACACACCTTGTCGCTCTCAACAGACTTCACAGACCACACACCTTGTCGCTCTCAACAGACTTCACAGACCACACACCTTGTCGCTCTCAACAGACTTCACAGACCACACACCTTGTCGCTCTCAACAGACTTCACAGACCACACACCTTGTCGCTCTCAACAGACTTCACAGACCACACACCTTGTCGCTCTCAACAGACTTCACAGACCACACACCTTGTCGCTCTCAACAGACTTCACAGACCACACACCTTGTCGCTCTCAACAGACTTCACAGACCACACACCTTGTCGCTCTCAACAGACTTCACAGACCACACACCTTGTCGCTCTCAACAGACTTCACAGACCACACACCTTGTCGCTCTCAACAGACTTCACAGACCACACACCTTGTCGCTCTCAACAGACTTCACACACCACACACCTTGTCGCTCTCAACAGACTTCACAGACCACACACCTTGTCGCTCTCAACAGACTTCACAGACCACACACCTTGTCGCTCTCAACAGACTTCACAGACCACACACCTTGTCGCTCTCAACAGACTTCACAGACCACACACCTTGTCGCTCTCAACAGACTTCACAGACCACACACCTTGTCGCTCTCAACAGACTTCACAGACCACACACCTTGTCGCTCTCAACAGACTTCACAGACCACACACCTTGTCGCTCTCAACAGACTTCACAGACCACACACCTTGTCGCTCTCAACAGACTTCACAGACACACACCTTGTCGCTCTCAACAGACTTCACAGACCACACACCTTGTCGCTCTCAACAGACTTCACAGACCACACACCTTGTCGCTCTCAACAGACTTCACAGACCACACACCTTGTCGCTCTCAACAGACTTCACAGACCACACACCTTGTCGCTCTCAACAGACTTCACAGACCACACACCTTGTCGCTCTCAACAGACTTCACAGACCACACACCTTGTCGCTCTCAACAGACTTCACAGACCACACACCTTGTCGCTCTCAACAGACTTCACAGACCACACACCTTGTCGCTCTCAACAGACTTCACAGACCACACACCTTGTCGCTCTCAACAGACTTCACAGACCACACACCTTGTCGCTCTCAACAGACTTCACAGACCACACACCTTGTCGCTCTCAACAGACTTCACAGACCACACACCTTGTCGCTCTCAACAGACTTCACAGACCACACACCTTGTCGCTCTCAACAGACTTCACAGACCACACACCTTGTCGCTCTCAACAGACTTCACAGACCACACACCTTGTCGCTCTCAACAGACTTCACAGACCACACACCTTGTCGCTCTCAACAGACTTCACAGACCACACACCTTGTCGCTCTCAACAGACTTCACAGACCACACACCTTGTCGCTCTCAACAGACTTCACAGACCACACACCTTGTCGCTCTCAACAGACTTCACAGACCACACACCTTGTCGCTCTCAACAGACTTCACAGACCACACACCTTGTCGCTCTCAACAGACTTCACAGACCACACACCTTGTCGCTCTCAACAGACTTCACAGACCACACACCTTGTCGCTCTCAACAGACTTCACAGACCACACACCTTGTCGCTCTCAACAGACTTCACAGACCACACACCTTGTCGCTCTCAACAGACTTCACAGACCACACACCTTGTCGCTCTCAACAGACTTCACAGACCACACACCTTGTCGCTCTCAACAGACTTCACAGACCACACACCTTGTCGCTCTCAACAGACTTCACAGACCACACACCTTGTCGCTCCTCAACAGACTTCACAGACCACACACCTTGTCGCTCCTCAACAGACTTCACAGACCACACACCTTGTCGCTCTCAACAGACTTCACAGACCACACACCTTGTCGCTCTCAACAGACTTCACAGACCACACACCTTGTCGCTCTCAACAGACTTCACAGACCACACACCTTGTCGCTCTCAACAGACTTCACAGACCACACACCTTGTCGCTCTCAACAGACTTCACAGACCACACACCTTGTCGCTCTCAACAGACTTCACAGACCACACACCTTGTCGCTCTCAACAGACTTCACAGACCACACACCTTGTCGCTCTCAACAGACTTCACAGACCACACACCTTGTCGCTCTCAACAGACTTCACAGACCACACACCTTGTCGCTCTCAACAGACTTCACAGACCACACACCTTGTCGCTCCTCAACAGACTTCACAGACCACACACCTTGTCGCTCTCAACAGACTTCACAGACCACACACCTTGTCGCTCTCAACAGACTTCACAGACCACACACCTTGTCGCTCTCAACAGACTTCACAGACCACACACCTTGTCGCTCTCAACAGACTTCACAGACCACACACCTTGTCGCTCTCAACAGACTTCACAGACCACACACCTTGTCGCTCTCAACAGACTTCACAGACCACACACCTTGTCGCTCTCAACAGACTTCACAGACCACACACCTTGTCGCTCTCAACAGACTTCACAGACCACACACCTTGTCGCTCTCAACAGACTTCACAGACCACACACCTTGTCGCTCTCAACAGACTTCACAGACCACACACCTTGTCGCTCTCAACAGACTTCACAGACCACACACCTTGTCGCTCTCAACAGACTTCACAGACCACACACCTTGTCGCTCTCAACAGACTTCACAGACCACACACCTTGTCGCTCTCAACAGACTTCACAGACCACACACCTTGTCGCTCTCAACAGACTTCACAGACCACACACCTTGTCGCTCTCAACAGACTTCACAGACCACACACATTGTCGCTCCTCAACAGACTTCACAGACCACACACCTTGTCGCTCCTCAACAGACTTCACAGACCACACACCTTGTCGCTCTCAACAGACTTCACAGACCACACACCTTGTCGCTCTCAACAGACTTCACAGACCACACACCTTGTCGCTCTCAACAGACTTCACAGACCACACACCTTGTCGCTCTCAACAGACTTCACACACCACACACCTTGTCGCTCTCAACAGACTTCACAGACCACACACCTTGTCGCTCTCAACAGACTTCACAGACCACACACCTTGTCGCTCTCAACAGACTTCACAGACCACACACCTTGTCGCTCTCAACAGACTTCACAGACCACACACCTTGTCGCTCTCAACAGACTTCACAGACCACACACCTTGTCGCTCCTCAACAGACTTCACAGACCACACACCTTGTCGCTCTCAACAGACTTCACAGACCACACACCTTGTCGCTCTCAACAGACTTCACAGACCACACACCTTGTCGCTCCTCAACAGACTTCACAGACCACACACCTTGTCGCTCTCAACAGACTTCACAGACCACACACCTTGTCGCTCTCAACAGACTTCACAGACCACACACCTTGTCGCTCTCAACAGACTTCACAGACCACACACCTTGTCGCTCTCAACAGACTTCACAGACCACACACCTTGTCGCTCTCAACAGACTTCACAGACCACACACCTTGTCGCTCTCAACAGACTTCACAGACCACACACCTTGTCGCTCTCAACAGACTTCACAGACCACACACCTTGTCGCTCTCAACAGACTTCACAGACCACACACCTTGTCGCTCTCAACAGACTTCACAGACCACACACCTTGTCGCTCTCAACAGACTTCACAGACCACACACCTTGTCGCTCTCAACAGACTTCACAGACCACACACCTTGTCGCTCTCAACAGACTTCACAGACCACACACCTTGTCGCTCTCAACAGACTTCACAGACCACACACCTTGTCGCTCTCAACAGACTTCACAGACCACACACCTTGTCGCTCTCAACAGACTTCACAGACCACACACCTTGTCGCTCTCAACAGACTTCACAGACCACACACCTTGTCGCTCTCAACAGACTTCACAGACCACACACCTTGTCGCTCTCAACAGACTTCACAGACCACACACCTTGTCGCTCTCAACAGACTTCACAGACCACACACCTTGTCGCTCTCAACAGACTTCACAGACCACACACCTTGTCGCTCTCAACAGACTTCACAGACCACACACCTTGTCGCTCTCAACAGACTTCACAGACCACACACCTTGTCGCTCTCAACAGACTTCACAGACCACACACCTTGTCGCTCTCAACAGACTTCACAGACCACACACCTTGTCGCTCTCAACAGACTTCACAGACCACACACCTTGTCGCTCTCAACAGACTTCACAGACCACACACCTTGTCGCTCTCAACAGACTTCACAGACCACACACCTTGTCGCTCCTCAACAGACTTCACAGACCACACACCTTGTCGCTCTCAACAGACTTCACAGACCACACACCTTGTCGCTCTCAACAGACTTCACAGACCACACACCTTGTCGCTCTCAACAGACTTCACAGACCACACACCTTGTCGCTCTCAACAGACTTCACAGACCACACACCTTGTCGCTCTCAACAGACTTCACAGACCACACACCTTGTCGCTCTCAACAGACTTCACAGACCACACACCTTGTCGCTCTCAACAGACTTCACAGACCACACACCTTGTCGCTCTCAACAGACTTCACAGACCACACACCTTGTCGCTCTCAACAGACTTCACAGACCACACACCTTGTCGCTCTCAACAGACTTCACAGACCACACACCTTGTCGCTCTCAACAGACTTCACAGACCACACACCTTGTCGCTCCTCAACAGACTTCACAGACCACACACCTTGTCGCTCTCAACAGACTTCACAGACCACACACCTTGTCGCTCTCAACAGACTTCACAGACCACACACCTTGTCGCTCTCAACAGACTTCACAGACCACACACCTTGTCGCTCTCAACAGACTTCACAGACCACACACCTTGTCGCTCTCAACAGACTTCACAGACCACACACCTTGTCGCTCTCAACAGACTTCACAGACCACACACCTTGTCGCTCTCAACAGACTTCACAGACCACACACCTTGTCGCTCTCAACAGACTTCACAGACCACACACCTTGTCGCTCTCAACAGACTTCACAGACCACACACCTTGTCGCTCTCAACAGACTTCACAGACCACACACCTTGTCGCTCTCAACAGACTTCACAGACCACACACCTTGTCGCTCTCAACAGACTTCACAGACCACACACCTTGTCGCTCTCAACAGACTTCACAGACCACACACCTTGTCGCTCTCAACAGACTTCACAGACCACACACCTTGTCGCTCTCAACAGACTTCACAGACCACACACCTTGTCGCTCTCAACAGACTTCACAGACCACACACATTGTCGCTCCTCAACAGACTTCACAGACCACACACCTTGTCGCTCCTCAACAGACTTCACAGACCACACACCTTGTCGCTCTCAACAGACTTCACAGACCACACACCTTGTCGCTCTCAACAGACTTCACAGACCACACACCTTGTCGCTCTCAACAGACTTCACAGACCACACACCTTGTCGCTCTCAACAGACTTCACACACCACACACCTTGTCGCTCTCAACAGACTTCACAGACCACACACCTTGTCGCTCTCAACAGACTTCACAGACCACACACCTTGTCGCTCTCAACAGACTTCACAGACCACACACCTTGTCGCTCTCAACAGACTTCACAGACCACACACCTTGTCGCTCTCAACAGACTTCACAGACCACACACCTTGTCGCTCCTCAACAGACTTCACAGACCACACACCTTGTCGCTCTCAACAGACTTCACAGACCACACACCTTGTCGCTCTCAACAGACTTCACAGACCACACACCTTGTCGCTCCTCAACAGACTTCACAGACCACACACCTTGTCGCTCTCAACAGACTTCACAGACCACACACCTTGTCGCTCTCAACAGACTTCACAGACCACACACCTTGTCGCTCTCAACAGACTTCACAGACCACACACCTTGTCGCTCTCAACAGACTTCACAGACCACACACCTTGTCGCTCTCAACAGACTTCACAGACCACACACCTTGTCGCTCTCAACAGACTTCACAGACCACACACCTTGTCGCTCTCAACAGACTTCACAGACCACACACCTTGTCGCTCTCAACAGACTTCACAGACCACACACCTTGTCGCTCTCAACAGACTTCACAGACCACACACCTTGTCGCTCTCAACAGACTTCACAGACCACACACCTTGTCGCTCTCAACAGACTTCACAGACCACACACCTTGTCGCTCTCAACAGACTTCACAGACCACACACCTTGTCGCTCTCAACAGACTTCACAGACCACACACCTTGTCGCTCCTCTCCCATCCATCACCACCTACACCCACCCCCCCTAGACCCCCACCCACCTGCACCTCCAACATGCGGTCCTCCATGGAACCGGCCACGGTGAAATGAGCGACACGCACGGGGCGGGTCTTGCTAATGCCTCATCCCAAACGGCCCCCATACCCACCTGCATCTCCAGGATCCGACCCCCCAAGACCCTCTCCCACCCACCTGCATCTCCAGGATCCGACCCCCCAAGACCCTCTCCCACCCACCTGCATCTCCAGGATCCGACCCCCCAAGACCCTCTCCCACCCACCTGCATCTCCAGGATCCGACCCCCCAAGACCCTCTCCCACCCACCTGCATCTCCAGGATCCGACCCCCCAAGACCCTCTCCCACCCACCTGCATCTCCAGGATCCGACCCCCCAAGACCCTCTCCCACCCACCTGCATCTCCAGGATCCGACCCCCCAAGACCCTCTCCCACCCACCTGCATCTCCAGGATCCGACCCCCCAAGACCCTCTCCCACCCACCTGCATCTCCAGGATCCGACCCCCCAAGACCCTCTCCCACCCACCTGCATCTCCAGGATCCGACCCCCCAAGACACTCTCCCACCCACCTGCAGCTCCAGGATCCGACCCCCCAAGACCCTCTCCCACCCACCTGCATCTCCAGGATCCGACCCCCCAAGACCCTCTCCCACCCACCTGCATCTCCAGGATCCGACCCCCCAAGACCCTCTCCCACCCACCTGCAACTCCAGGATCCGACCCCCCAAGACCCTCTCCCACCCACCTGCAGCTCCAGGATCCGACCCCCCAAGACCCTCTCCCACCCACCTGCAGCTCCAGGATTCGGTCCTCGATGGTATCCGCCACGGTGAAGCGCGCCACGCGCACGGGGCGAGTCTGGCCGATGCGGTGGGCGCGGTCAATTGCCTGGTCCTCCACAGCAGGGTTCCACCAGAGGTCCATGAGTATCACGTGGTTTGCTGCTATCAGGTTCAGACCCACACTGGCTGCTTTCAGGGAGACCAGGATCACCGTGATCTGACGGGATGAATGGGAGGGATCGAATAGGGTGAAGGGGAGGGGTCAGATGGGGCAGTTAGTATGGACAACAGAGGTACCGAGGCAGCTCTAAAGACGCGGGCGATGGCTTGATCCTCCACCGCTGAGTTCCACCACAGGTCCATGGGGATAACGTGGTTTGCCGCTAAGAGATTGAGCCCCAGGCTGGCTGCCTTGAGGGAGACCAGGATCACCGTGATCTGATGGGAAGAAGGGGAAGGGTCAGATGGGGCAGCTAACCAACCTTGGGATCATCGCCACCCTTGAGATCATCCCGACTTTGGAAACATGTAGAAATCAATTTGGAATAATACCGACCGTACCTTGAAATCATGCTCAACTTACATTGGAATTAAGCTGAAATTAACTTGGAATACTATTGGCGACATGATTACAACAAACCAACCTTCGAATCACTCCAGCCTTGGGATTACCACTGGCCTATCTTGGGATTACACCAGCCTTGAGATTACCACCTGATATTCGCGGAATAGGACCGACCTGGGGATCGGTGGTGAAAGCTGTGATGGCCCTGTCTCGAGCGGCCACAGGCATGGTGCCGTCGAGGCGCACGTGGGAAATGCCAGCAACAGCCAGGTGCAGCGGCCTTGGGAATACCATCTACCAGCCTTGGGAACACCACCTACCAGCCTTGGGAATACCATCTACCAGCCTTGGGAATACCATCTACCAGCCTTGGGAATACCATCTACCAGCCTTGGGAATACCATCTACCAGCCTTGGGAACACCACCTACCAGCCTTGGGAACACCACCTACCAGCCTTGGGAATACTACCTACCAGCCTTGGGAATACCACCTACCAGCCTTGGGAATACTACCTACCAGCCTTGGGAATACCACCTACCAGCCTTAGGAATGCGCGGACCTGGGGATCAGTGGTGAAATCGGCAATGGCCCTGTCTCGAGCGGTGACGGACATGGTGCCGTCGAGGCGCACGTGGGAGATGCCGGCAGCAGGCAGGTGCAGGTCGAGGAGGTCCAACATGCGCGTCCACTGCGAGAACACGATCGCCTTCTCCCTCACCATTACGTGAGGGGGAACACTCACTATCGCCTTTCCCCTCTCCTCCGAGGGAGTATTTCCTAGTGCTAAATCTTTCACCACCTCCTCTCCCACACTTGCTAATGCTTTCTCCTGTGCCACACGCACCAGTGCCAGCTCACGCTGTTCTGTGCTTGCCCTCGCTTGCCCCTCTGCCGCCCTGCCTGCTGTGCTTCCCACGGGAGTAGCCAACGCAGCAGGGGCGGGAGGAGGAGGAGCGGGGCGCGGGAGATGGGCGGCTGCAGGGGGTGCGAGGGGTGGAAGGTGTGCGGAGAGTGTACGAGAGACGATGGGCGCATGGTTTGCATGAGAAGAATGTGCAGAGGATGTAGAAGTGACAAGTGGAGCATGGGACACAGGAGATGCAAGGAGAGGAGGTGACACGGGGGCGGCAGTGGGAGTGGGTGGTGCAGGGGCGGCAGTGGCGGCAGGGGCTGCAGGGAATGCTGAAGGCGGCAGTGCCACATGCCGCAGGGCTGATGCGAGTGCAGCTGCTGAGATCTGGAACCTAGCTGGACTGCCACACGCCCCTCTTGCTCCACCTCCACTCCCATCAGCACCTTCCACACAACCTTCCTGGCACCCCTTTGCCATCCCACCTGCTTGCCAAGACCCCGCCTCTCCTGCCTGCCCAATCTGCCCCGCCTGCCCTATCTGCCCCGCCTGCCCAATCTGCCCTGCCTGGCCTGCCTGCCCCATCAGCTCAACCAGCCAGGCTGTGTTTTCCTCACTCAACCCCACCCCCTCACTCAACCCCACCCCCTCACTCAACCCCACCCCCACACCCACCCCCACATCCACCCCCACACCCTCCTGTGCCTCCTGCTTCTCCGCCTTCACTACCCCCCCAGCGACGTCAGCCCCCGCAACCCCCATCCGAGCAGCTCTTGCCCCCCCGGCCCCTTGCTCTTCCCTCTTGACTGTCGCATGACGTGCTGCAGCAGGTGCAGAACCAGGTGCATCAGCGGATGCAGAAGCAATTACAGGCTTAACATCAGGCACGTCAGGTGTGGAACCAGGTGCAGCAGAAGCTAAAGCAAGGACAGCAGGTTTTGCATCCGGGACGTCAGGTGTTGAGTCAGGTGCGTCTGGTAATGAACCAGGTAGAGGTAGGTCAGATGCCCATCCACCTGAGGGACAAAACACTCCTGTATTCACATCCTCACCATTCTCAACCACTTCAGATTTCACTGCACCTCCTGACACACGCGCAGGTGGTAGGTCTGCCCCTGCAGGCATCACATTAGCCTCCTCCAGCACAGCGGTCGCAGCAATCTCTGCCCACAGCCCCACCATCCACTCTGCCTCCTCTGGCTCCTGCTTCTGCGCTTCCTGCTGCTGCTGCTGTTGCTGTTGACCACTCTTCTCTTCTTCCAGCAGCATCAACCCACCATCACATGCTTCCCCCTTCACCCCTCCCATGCACGCACGCCCACCTGCATTCCCACCTGAGCTGCCTGCACCGCCGCCTTCACTCCCATCCCCACGTGGAACCCCTGCACCCACACTATGCTTTGCTGAACTGCCTCCCCAAACCCCTCGCACTGCCCCACCTCCCACCCCCCCTTGCTCCTCCTCCTTCACCAACCCGTCAGGTGCTACCGAGGGAGGGGTGGAGGAGGGAAGGGTGGCGGATGGAGGAGTGGAGGTGGGAGGAGTGATGGGAGGAGTGTAGGTGGGGGGAGTTGAGGTGGGAGGAGTGGAGGTGGGAGGAGTGATGGGGGGAGTGGAGGTGGGAGGAGTGAAGGTGGCCGGAGTGGAGATGAAAAAATTGGAGGTAGGAGGGTTACTTGTGGGAACAGGGCCACAAACAGTACTTGCCCTGGGTGGGTGTATGGTAGGGTGGGAGGAGGGACAGGAGGAGGGAACGGAGGAGGGAAGGGGGGAGGGGAGTGAGGAGGGAAGGGATGAAGAAGGGAGAGAGGAGGGAAGGGAGGAAGTGGGAAGAGAAGCAGCAACAGGAGGAGCAGCAGAGGAAGGAGGGGGAACAGCGGGCATGAGAGGGAGGGCGAGGAGGTAGTTGAGGACAGCACGAGCCTTGGTGGACATGCGAGAGGGAGAGCAGAACAGTGGATCCTCCTCATGCTGCTGCTGCTGCTGCTGCTGCTGCTGCTGCTGCTGCTGCTGCTGCTGCTGCTGCTGCTGCTGCTGCTGCTGCTGCTGCTGCTGCTGCTGCTGCTGCTGCTGCTGCTGCTGCTGCTGCTGCTGCTGCTGCTGCTGCTGCTGCTGCTGCTGCTGCTGCTGCTGCTGCTGCTGCTGCTGCTGCTGCTGCTGCTGCTGCTGCTGCTGCTGCTGCTGCTGCTGCTGCTGCTGCTGCTGCTGCTGCTGCTGCTGCTGCTGCTGCTGCTGCTGCTGCTGCTGCTGCTGCTGCTGCTGCTGCTGCTGCTGCTGCTGCTGCTGCTGCTGCTGCTGCTGCTGCTGCTGCTGCTGCTGCTGCTGCTGCTGCTGCTGCTGCTGCTGCTGCTGCTGCTGCTGCTGCTGCTGCTGCTGCTGCTGCCCTCCCCTCCCGTCTGCCAGTGAAGTTGATGCCACAGCTACTGCTAATGTACTTGCCTTTGCTCCCCTCCCCATCACCACGCCTCCCGCACCCATCCCCAACCCTACACCTTCCAGCTCCGAAAACAGGCAGAGCGACGCAGACGAGAGGGGTTTGGAGCAGCAGGGGCAGAGGGGGGTGTCAGACTGAGCGAGATGCTGCAGGGCGCATTGCTCACAGAAGGTGTGCAGGCACACAGACAGCACCGGAACCTCCGCTGCATCCCCGCATAGCTCACACACCGCCTCTCCCCCCACCTGCGCAACCTGCCGCACTAACTCGGCGCGTTTACCTGCTGATAGCCTCCCCACCGACCCCGCAAACACACTCCGCCGCCCACCCGCCCCACCACTCCCCCCTCCTCCTGCTCCAACCCCGCTGTGCCCCCGTGATGCTCCTCCTCCTCCTCCTCCATTGCCTTGGGCGATGGGGGCGCCCTTGGCGAGGGCAGGGTGGTTGCAGGCCTGGCGCAGGCGCAGCAGCATGGTGAGAATGTGCATGTAGTTGTTTTGCACCGTGCCTGCCGCCGCGTAGTCCTGGTGAGATGAATATGGTAAGTGAATATGGTAAGGGCAGGAAGCAGCATCGTGAGGATCAGAGGATGTGCATGTAGTTGTTCTATATCGTGCCAGCTTCTGCATAGTGCTGGTGAGATGAGAGAGGGGGAAGGGAGAGGGGAGTAAGGACAGAGAACTAGGAGAGGGGATGAGGGGAAGGGAGACGCACCAGCGGTTGCATGTAGTCCTGGTAGGTAGGTAGGGGAGAAGATTCTACTCATGCAGAAACTATTCACATGCTGATAAAGAGTTGCAAGTGAGTAACCCTGTATGTGCATGTAACTGGCGGCGCTCTGGTAGGGAGGTCACTCACATGGAACTGGCGCTTGGAGGAGGCCTCGAGGGAGAGATAGAAGGCCCTCTCTTCTGGTGTGAACTCCGCTCGCTGCAGCGCCACTATGCGCGGGGGTAGGTTCACTATGGGCGCTCCCTTGATGCGCGTGGCTGGTGGGAGAGGGAAGGGCAGCAGAGGGAGGAGAGTGGAGGGAGGGTTGCGGGTGATGGGGACAAAAGTGACCTCAATGTTGATGGATGGCACCACTGGCGAATGTGCACTCTTGTGACGCAGCACTCGTGTGACGCAGCACAAGCGCCTTTTGAGGCGCCTCATGAGGCGACTTTTGAGGCGCCTCAAAAGTCGAATGTGCACTCGTGTGATGCAGCACAAGCGCCCAACCAACCGGTTAAGCCAAAGTAACCAGCCAGCCAGCACTCACCCTTGGTGTGTGGCAGCATGACAGCAAGCACAACCGCCTGCAGCCGCTTCTAGCCCTGGGTGGGGTTTAGCTTCGCGAGATCGGTTCCTTACTGGCGGTGCAAAACTGCGTGTACGCGTGTCATGCAGCACAGCATGCAAGGACTCAGGGACTCACCCTTGGTACGGCGCAGCATGACAGCCAGCAGCACGGCCTGCAGGCGCTTAAATCCCTGGGAGGGGTTGCGCGTGATGGGGTCCTTGATGGTGGTGCGGAAGGTTGCGTACTCGTCGTACGGGGAGAAGCGCAGGAAGCGCAGGTAGGAGTACACATCGTCCACTGCGTTCTGCATGGGTGTGCCCGACAGACACCACCGCTTCTTGGCTCTTAAAGCCCAGCACGCCCTTGCTACCTGGAGGGAGGAAGGAATGGAGCGAGGGAAGGATGACAGGAAGACAGGAGAAGCGGGGAGTGCTGTTTATGAGATGCCAAAAGGGAAAGCTCTAGCCCCTCAGACAGCACCACTGAGCGTGCCCTGGCAGCATGAGAGAGGATAGGGGAGGGGGAGAAGCGCGGCACGCAAAGATACACATCGTGCACCGCGTTCTGCTTCTAGGTCCTCAACGAGGTGACTTCTGAATCGACTCAAAAGTCACCGCGTTCTGCTTCTAGGTCCTCAACGAGGTGACTTCTGAGTCGACTCAAAAGTCACCGCGTTCTGCTTCTAGGTCCTCAACGAGGTGACTTTTGAGTCGACTCAAAAGTCACCGCGTTCTGCTTCTAGGTCCTCAACGAGGTGACTTTTGAGTCGACTCAAAAGTCACCGCGTTCTGCTTCTAGGTCCTCAACGAGGTGACTTCTGAGTCGACTCAAAAGTCACCGCGTTCTGCTTCTAGGTCCTCAACGAGGTGACTTTTGAGTCGACTCAAAAGTCACCGCGTTCTGCTTCTAGGTCCTCAACGAGGTGACTTTTGAGTCGACTCAAAAGTCACCGCGTTCTGCTTCTAGGTCCTCAACGAGGTGACTTCTGAATCGACTCAAAAGTCACCGCGTTCTGCTTCTAGGTCCTCAACGAGGTGACTTCTGAGTTGACTCAAAAGTCACCGCGTTCTGCTTCTAGGTCCTCAACGAGGTGACTTTTGAGTCGACTCAAAAGTCACCGCGTTCTGCTTCTAGGTCCTCAACGAGGTGACTTCTGAATCGACTCAAAAGTCACCGCGTTCTGCTTCTAGGTCCTCAACGAGGTGACTTCTGAGTTGACTCAAAAGTCACCGCGTTCTGCTTCTAGGTCCTCAACGAGGTGACTTCTGAGTCGACTCAAAAGTCACCGCGTTCTGCTTCTAGGTCCTCAACGAGGTGACTTCTGAATCGACTCAAAAGTCACCGCGTTCTGCTTCTAGGTCCTCAACGAGGTGACTTCTGAGTTGACTCAAAAGTCACCGCGTTCTGCTTCTAGGTCCTCAACGAGGTGACTTTTGAGTCGAATCAAAAGTCACCGCGTTCTGCTTCTAGGTCCTCAACGAGGTGACTTCTGAATCGACTCAAAAGTCACCGCGTTCTGCTTCTAGGTCCTCAACGAGGTGACTTCTGAGTTGACTCAAAAGTCACCGCGTTCTGCTTCTAGGTCCTCAACGAGGTGACTTCTGAGTCGACTCAAAAGTCACCGCGTTCTGCTTCTAGGTCCTCAACGAGGTGACTTCTGAATCGACTCAAAAGTCACCGCGTTCTGCTTCTAGGTCCTCAACGAGGTGACTTCTGAGTTGACTCAAAAGTCACCGCGTTCTGCTTCTAGGTCCTCAACGAGGTGACTTCTGAGTCGACTCAAAAGTCACCGCGTTCTGCTTCTAGGTCCTCAACGAGGTGACTTCTGAGTCGACTCAAAAGTCACCGCGTTCTGCTTCTAGGTCCTCAACGAGGTGACTTCTGAGTCGACTCAAAAGTCACCGCGTTCTGCTTCTAGGTCCTCAACGAGGTGACTTCTGAGTCGACTCAAAAGTCACCGCGTTCTGCTTCTAGGTCCTCAACGAGGTGACTTCTGAGTCGACTCAAAAGTCACCGCGTTCTGCTTCTAGGTCCTCAACGAGGTGACTTCTGAGTCGACTCAAAAGTCACCGCGTTCTGCTTCTAGGTCCTCAACGAGGTGACTTCTGAGTCGACTCAAAAGTCACCGCGTTCTGCTTCTAGGTCCTCAACGAGGTGACTTTTGAGTCGACTCAAAAGTCACCGCGTTCTGCTTCTTGGTCCTCAAAAACGCCCAACACGCCCTTGCTACCTGAGGGAGGGAGACGCTAGGGTGGGTGGGTGCAGCAGGGAAAGAGAAGAGGAAGAAACGTGGGAAGGGGAGACTAAGGGGACGTGAGTGGCGAAGAGAAAGCAGTGGTAGGAAATGATTTGTGTAGATGACACTTGACTAAACTCAAATGTGAAGGGTGAGGAGAAAGCAATGGTACGTAACAATGTGTGTGCAGTGGTAACTGGTTCATACCAGCAGTGGAGAGGTAACTGGTTCATACAAGCAGTGGAGTGGTAACTGGTTCATACCAGCAGTGGAGTGGTAACTGGTTCATACCAGCAGTGGAGTGGTAACTGGTTCATACCAGCGATAGTTCACCCAGCACTGCACACATGAGAACAACTCTCATCTCATGTGACTAGCTGTTGGGAAACATTCTTGCATGTAGGCCCAAGAATCCAGAGGTCAAGCGAGAGTGCAGGAGCCAAGGTGTGCATGAGCCACGCACCCTCGGTGAGTTGTTTTGTCGGTCCCATATCACCTACCTGATTGTTGCACAATTCTGAGACATCTGAACACGAATACAGCCCACCTGCGTGTTGCGGTTCTTGATGACCTGCGCCGCATCGCATATAGCACCACTCGATCGTAGAGTCGACTCAAGAATCTTAGAGCCGACTCTCTGAGTTGTTTCGTTGACCGTTTCACATCACCCACCCACCCAGCCAGCCAGCCAGCCAGCCAGCCAGCTAGCCACCCAGCCCCGCACCCAGGCACGCACCTGTGTGTTGCGGTTCTTAACCGCCTGCGCCTCGTCCAGCACCACTCGCAGCCACGCCACCCCCGCAAGCGGACCCCCCACACTCCCCCCTCCCCCCTCACCACCACCAGCCTTCCTCTTCCCCCCCGCCCCTCCCCCACCACCCCCACCAATCCCCATCACCTCCTCCCACGAAGGCTCCTTCCCTTTGCCTTTCCCCCCCTCGCCGCCATCACCGCCTCTCCCGCCCCCCACGTCCATGGCAGCAATGGCATAGGTGGTCAGCACCACGTCGTACGATGCCACCTCCGCAGCACTCCGCGTGCGCCCCGGCCCGTGATACACCAGCACTGATAAACCCCGTCTCCCAGCTCCTTCTCCTGCGCTTTCTCCTGCTCTCCCACTTGCACCACCTCCTCTTCCTCCTCCTCCCCCTCCTCCGCTAGCCAACCCCTCCTCTCTCCCCCCCCCACCAACAGCAGCAGCAGGGCCAGCATCCCCCAGGTCGCCCACGCGTTCTCGAATCTCCCGCTCCCACTGCCGCAGGATGCTCGTGGGGCACACTACCAGCGTGCCGCCGCTCACGCGCTTGCCCCTGCCGCCACCTGCACCGCCCACTGCTGACGTGGCAGCTGCTGAGGTGGCAGCTGCGGAAAGGCCGCGTGGTGTTGCCGTCTCTGCCACTGGCGGCATTGGAGCTGCTAGACGTTGTTTCTTCCCACCACGCCTCCCCCGCGCCCTCTCCCTCTCCTCTTCCTCCTCCTCCTCCTCCTCCAAATCAACCACTTCCGTCTTGCTGCTGCTCCCCATTCCCATTCCTCCCCCCCCTCCTTCTCCTGCTGCTGCTGCTGGCACCGCAGCAGCTACACCAGCAGCAGCACCACTTGTACCAACACCATTAGTAGAAGGACCAGCACCAGAAGAACCAGCACCAGAAGGACCAGCATCACCAGTACCCACACCACCCGTCAACAGCAGCATCTGCCCCTCCTCCTTAACAACCCCCTTCCCCTTCTCCCTCTCCCGTCTCTCCCTCTCCCTGCCCTCCCGCACCCCCAGCACAATGAGCGCAATCGTGGTCAGAGTCTTCCCCAGCCCCTGATCATCCGCTAGTATCCCCCCAGCAGGGATAGACGCCTCTCTGCGCCTCATCCACGCCACTGCCATGCGTTGGTGCGTCAGCAGCGGCACTCTTAAAGCCCCTGCAGGCATTTCTACCTCCTCTGCTGTTCCTGAGAGGGAGAGGCCTTCTAGAATCTGCCGCATTGCGGTTTGCTGGTCTGGAGGAGGGTTGGAAGGGGTTGGAGAGGGTGCTTGGGGATACAGGTGCGGGTGGAGGTGGTGATGGTGGTGCTGGTGGTGGCTGTGGTGGCTGGGATGCGGATGGCTTTGACTCGGTGCGATGTGGTTGTGTGCGGTTCCGGCATCCACTCGCATCCTCTTTGCAGCTTGCTCTCCTTCCCTGCCTGTGTCCGTAAGCCCACCACCACCACCACTGCTGCCCCCCGCACCTCTTATGCTTGCCGGCAGCGGCCTAAACTGAGGCAACCCAACCGATGGTGAACTATGCCTTGTAATAAACGGAGCTAAATCAGGTTCTATGTGTAATGTTGTGTGTGGGTCTATGCTATAGGCCGTGGCTGCTGTGCGTGCTGTGTGTGGGTCTATGCTATAGGCCGTGGCTGCTGTGTGTGCTGCTGCGGGTGTTGTGACTGCTGTACGCGGCGTGTGTGTTTGCCGTGCCACATGATGACTCAGCTCAGAATGAGGCAATCGGTGCACCAGCCCCTCGTCCCGCATGCCCCTGAAGTGTCTCAAAGCGTCAGCCGCACTCCTCCTCCTCGCCTCCACAAACTCTCGCCTCTCCTCCTCCCTATCCACCCCTCTCCCTCCCATCCCAACCCCAAACCACTGCCGTGCATTCCCGCCTGCGCTTTCCCTCCCTCTCCTCCTCCCACTCCCACCACCTCCCCCCTCTCCCCCCTCTCCGTCCTCTTCCTCCTCATCATCATCCCCTTGGTCTCGGAGCAGCACTCTCTCTCCAAACCGGTCTCTCACCTCCTGCTCCAGTAGCACCTGCTGCCTCGCCTCCTGCTGCTGCCGCTGCCACTGCAAAACCTCTTGCTGCAGCTGCTGCTGCTGCTGGTTACTCTGCTGCTGCTGGTTACTCTGCTGCTGGTTACTCTGCAGCTGATTTCGCTGCTGCTGTCCAACGCTCGCCTGGCCTCTGCTTCTCTCACCTTCGTCCCGCTGACCCCTCTGCCTCTGCGGCGACATAACAGCCTTCAGCTTCCCCAGCTGCTCCCACTGCTGCCTCACCTCATCGCCCACCTCATCCTCATCATCATCACTCGCCATACTTATCACACTCACCACACTACTCTCACTCCCCTCACTCCCCTCTCTCCCTACCCCTTCAGCCACACCCCTGCCCTCCCTCCTCCCATCACCAGCGCTGCCTACTCCCAATCCTGTACCCATCCCCATGCCACTCCCCAATCCCCGTGCCATGTTTCCAATCATGCCGCCCACCGTGCCGCCCAGTACACCACCCGGCATGCCGCCCAACGTGCTGCCACCCACCATGCCGCCCACCGGGCCGCCTAGTACGCCGCCCAGCACGCCGCCCAGAACGCCGCCCGGCACGCCGCCCAGAACGCCGCCTGGCGTGCCGCCCCCCATGGAGCGCATCATCTGTCTCTGCGCGGTTCTGAGCCTGGCCTGCAGCATGGCTTCCTGCACCTCCCGCCCGCTCAGCTCCATCACATCCTCATCCTCGTTACTAGCCACCCCGTTACTAGCACCACCACCCCTCCTGCTGCCGTTAATGTTCCCGCTGCTTCTGCTGCTGCCCAATTGCCCCTGCTGCTGCCCCTGCTGCCTCTGCTGCCCCTGCTGCCCCTGCTGTTTCTGCTTCTGCGGCTGCTGCGGCTGCTGCTGTTGTTGCCACAGGAGCTGCTGCAGCTGTTCTGCGTACTCGTTGTCACCGCCATCATCACTGTCAGCATCAACCTCGTCGTCGCTCAACCACACCACGTCCATCTCCTCCTCTTGCTGCGCTTCTGCACCTGCACTCCTGCCTGCCAAGCTTGCCCCACCTGCACCTGCTGTTGCCTTGTCAGTCGAATTTGAAGGACCACCAGCACCTGCTGTTGCCTTGTCAGTCAACTCTAAAGGACCATCAGCACCTGCTGTGGCCTTTCCAGTCAACTCCGAAGGACCATCAGCACCTACTGCTGCACCAACAGCAGCAGTGGCGTCAGCAGTGGCGTCGGCGGCGGTGACGGCAGGGCCAGGGGGGGCGTTGGTGTTGGTGGCAGCAACAGGAGAACGAGGGTCCGAGGGAGCAGCAGCAGTGGCAGCGTCAGCAGCATCAGAAGCAGCAGAAGCCGCAGCCGCAGCAGGCACAGCAGCATCTGGTAAGTGTGTCAAATGACCCTCTGTATCATCATTCGTACCCAAACAACCATCCGGTTCCATACATCCATCCATCGCCGCCACACCATTCATCGCCGAACCACCATCCATCACCAAGCCTCCATCCATCCCCCATGCTGAAACGCTCTCACCATGCGCCGAGCCCACACCATACCCATACATGTGCGGCGCATCCTCATCTCCTCCCTCCTCGCTCTCACTCTCACTCCCACTCTCACTTTTACTCCCACTCTCACTCCCCCTCTTACTCTCACTCTCACTCTCACCTGCACACTCCCTCTCAATTCCCGCTTCCCCTGCAGCAGCACCAGCATCTGCACCCATGACGTCAGCCATTGCAGAATCACCACCAACAGGTAACCCTATTCCAACACTGTCGGGAAACCCAATATTCGCACCGTCTAGTAACCCTACATCAACACCGTCTGGTAACCCTACATCAACACCGTCTGGTAACCCTACATCAACACCGTCTGGTAACCCTACATCAACACCGTCTGGTAACCCTACATCAACACCGTCTGGTAACCCTACATCAACACCGTCTGGTAACCCTACATCAACACCGTCTGGTAACCCTACATCAACACCGTCTGGTAACCCTACATCAACACCGTCTGGTAACCCTACATCAACACCGTCTGGTAACACCATATTACCACCGTCTACATCAACAGCATCAGTTAACCCTGTATTAACACAGCTGGGTAACTCCATGTCAATACCGTTGGGTAACCCTATGTTAACACCGTCGGGTAACCCTATATTAACACCTTCGGGTAACCCTATATTAACACCGTCGGGTAACCCTATATCAACACAGTGCGGTGATCCACCAGGAACACGGGCAGAACCCCCTACACCTGTACCTCCTGTTTCACGGCCGGTTATTCCACTGCCTTCCCTTTCACCCTCCTCCCTCTCCTCCTCGCTTCTCACACCACGACAATCGCCACCGTTGATTTGACCCGCCTTCTCACCATCGACGGTCGCGATGTTCTGAAAATCACCATCGGCGTCATCGTTTGTTTTCTCCTCAGTGTTACACTGCTTCTGATTTTCACCGAAGGCATCGCCGACATTATTGAGCCCGACATCCCCGTTAGGAGGAAACTCGTTATTGACACCGTTGTTTTCCTGGTTTGTAAACTTTTCTGCGCCAACCATTGTACCGACTGCCACGTTTACCTCTTTTGAAGGTGGTCCTTGGGGACCGAAATCCAAACCTAGTGACGTGTCACGTGGGGACGCGGTGGTGGCGTGGTGTGCTGACTTGGATGGCATGATCCTGCTAGAGCATGCGGTTCGTGCATGAGCTAAAAGGTGCAACAGCGACGCCCTGTGCTACGCGGTAACTACTAGTCCTATGCCACCCTGAATCGATGGGAGGCGTGACTAGGAAGAATAGAGACTTCACCGAAGCAGTGGACTAATACTTAACTCAGCAAAAATATATGAAACAATTTTGTATTTTCAATTACTTTGTGGTCCCATGGTGTAGTGGTCATCACGTTTGCTTTACACGCAAAAGGTCACGAGTTCGAAACTCGTTGGGGCCAGCGTTTTGCCTCTTCCCACTTTCTCAGAGGGTCGCGCCTGTGTTTACAGCTCATTCTGTGCATCACGGTGCAAAACGTAGGAAATTGAAAACCGCTGTCTACCGCCTGATATCGTTTCACACCACAACGGATGATCTACAACAAATTGAAAACGTACACGCTCCCTCCCCTCCCCACCTGTGCGGTTTTCTGCGGACTGTTGAAGTCGCTTTTGGGGATTCTCAAGAAGCAACACCAACACAGACCATTTCATATTTTTGCAGAGATTTCAGAATTCGACCCTTCATTTCTTTCAGTTGAGAAAAGGTCATGAACATTGTTTCTATGCACGGCTCAAAACCGTCCGATCTCTTGACCAATGAGTCGAATCCGTTCGATCGGCTTCCACAAGAGATCCTCGCCGTCATCTTGCGGCACGTTGCACCATCCGGCAGGTCGTTTCAGCATGCCTTGGTGTGCAAGCGATGGCATCGCGCGGCGTGCCTCGCGCAGTCATCAGTCCACGTGGCGAAATCTCGTGCCATCTCGTCCCCGCGCCTCCTCCTCGCACTCTCACGGTTTCCCCGCCTCACCCACCTTCATATCGATCGAGACGGAGTCGATTTCTTAGACGACGGATTCCTGACAATTCTCGCTGAAGGTGCTTGTAACGGGTGTGACATTAACGAGGACGAGGCGGAGGAAACGGAGGAGGAGGAAAGTCACGAAGAGGGATTGGGAGCCATTGGCGCTGGGCAGAGATTAGGTCTGAACGGCACTGGCTGTAGTAGAGCGGGCGGCAATGGTGGTATAGTGTATGGCACTGGCGGTGGACTGGGCGGCACTGGTGATACAGTGGGCGGCAGTGAAGATATTCCACATGGCATCAGGTCGTCACTAGAAAGAACGAGCATCGCCAGCACCCGAACAGCAGCACAACCTGCTCTCCCATCTGCGCTCCAAACTCCGCATACCCAACCGCGCACCTCCCCTCTCCGCGCTCTCTTTCTCGCGGAGGACCCTCGCTCCACCCCGCGCATCACAGCAGCAGGCCTGGACTCCCTCTTCCTCCACTGCTGCCTCTTGCGCTCCCTCTCTCTGCACTCTGGTCGTGCAATAACCGTCCTCCCGCCCTCTATAGTCACACTGCCTGCACTCACATCCCTAGATATTGCCATGCCCTGCCTGGGAAGTCTGCCGGATGATTTCGGCTCCCTGACCGCCTTGAGGGTTCTTCGGCTGGAAAGCCCCAGTCTTAGCTCTCTGCCCGAGAGTCTCGGGCAGCTGAAATTACTGGAAGAGCTCACTCTCCGGTGCTTGTCTGCCCGGAACCTGCCTGATTGGATCGGGCAGCTTAGCCGCCTCACCTGCCTGAACATCGAAAGCTGTTCTTTTCGGCACCTGCCCGAGTCTCTGGGCATCCTTCGTTCCTTAACCTCGCTTCGCCTATCATCTCTTGATTTCGACTCCTTGCCAGAATCCGTCGGCCAGCTTTCCGCCTTGAAACATTTCATCCTGGAAAAAATGCCCGTGACAAGTCTGCCCGAGCTTTTTGGGCACCTGGAAAACCTTTCCGTGCTCCAATTGAACGACTGTGATTCCCTCGTCTCCCTGCCCAACTCCCTCTTCACCCTGCCTTCCCTATCCACCCTTCTCATTGGCTGTTGGGCCCTCCCTGCACTACCAGACAAAATCTCCCACCTGTTAGTTTTAGAACATTTGGAGCTGAACTCTTGTGAGGGCCTCACTTCCCTTCCAGAATCTCTTTCCGAGCTGCCCGCCCTGAAACACCTCGAAATCTCATCCTGCCCGTGCCTCAAATCCCTACCAGCATCGCTTGACCAGCTGAAGCATCTAACCACCCTCGAAATCCACAATTGCGACTCGCTCTCGCTCCTCCCCCCATCGCTTCCTCTCCTCCCTTCTCTCTCACGCCTCGTGATTGTCGGGTGCTCCCATTTGAGAGAGCTTCCGGGAAACCTAGGAGAGCTAAGCAGTTTAAGGGTGCTAGAGCTGGGGCTGTGCAAGAGCCTAAAGAGCCTGCCAGATTCGATCATGGAATTGGGTCAGTTGGAAAGAGTGGTGGTGCTTGGGTGCAGGAGGCTGGAAAGTGTGCCTGAGGGAATTGCGGAAATGCCGAGCGTGCAAGAGGTGGTTTTCAGGGAGTGTGATGCACTTGTTTGATTTGATTGAGAGGCTTGGAGTGCTTTCTTTCGACATAGGTGAACCTAGGCGAGTTGAGGAGTTTAAGGGTGCTGGAGCTGGGACTGTTAAAGAGCCTTAGGAGGAGTCCGGCTTCCATCACAGAGATGAATCGGTTAAGAGTGTGCCTGGAGGGGATTGCGGAAATGGCGAGCGTGCGAGAGGTGGTGTTCAGAGAGTGTGATGCACTTGTGTGATGCTCCAGTGTGATTGGATACCGGTAACGCAGATTTTAAGGCGATTCTAAAAATGTAAAATTTTAAAAGTGTGTAACACTTTTCAAAATTGTGTATTGTGAAAGTGTAGCGATTGCCAACGCAGCAAAGGCAGCGTCGCATCGCTACTCGCCCTCTTTTGGCTACAAAAGAGGGGGTTGAGGCCATTCGGCCTCACCCACGTTCTTCTTTTCAATTTCGAAGTTTGAGTTTTTCAATCTCGTCCAGTCTGGCGAAGACGCAGTCCCTCCCTCGCTTCACCGCCCCGACGACTCTACTTGCGGATATTTTTAAGTACAACATCGGAGCCATGGCGCCGGCGAACAACACTGCTAATCGCGAGGGCAACAAGGCGACAGACACTCCCGTCGCCGCGAACGCCAACATTCTGCCCGGGACAACCGCCCGTCGCCCGAAACGGGCTGCCGAGGAGTCACGCGAGGACCTCGCCACTGGCGTCGAGGTCCTACTGGGCGGAGGCTCCCCGGCGCCTTCCGAGGAGCCTTCCGCCCCTCGCGCGGCTTCCAGGCAGCCGCGCGAAGTGGCGAAAAAGACAACCGCTGACGCAGCTGTCTTGACCACCACCTCGAGCCCCTCAGGCGCGCGTGTCAAGCAGCACGCGCCCGCACCCTCGAGCCACACGCCAGCCACGACCGAGCCCAAATCCCCGTTCAACCCGGCGCAACTCCAAGCACTACTGGCGCTGTTACAGCAGCACGCGCCTGTTACGGCGGGGACTTCAAAAAATGAGGACGCTACAACTTCTGCAAAATATGATAAGAAGAAAGAAGAAGCTCCCGCCGTCGCGCCGCGCCCTCCCAAGACTGCCCGCATCGAGAAGGACCCGGCCCCCGCTCCCGTCGAAGATGACAGCGACGAGTCAGACGACGCTGATGGTGAGGCCTCCCCTCGCCGTCACAACCCAATTTTCACTCATGCTTCTTGCTCTACGCTTCCCCCCCTCAACCCCGCAACCACAAACTCCACGTTCAACCGCAAGGGCGTACTTGACCAGGCAGAGGTTTTCTCTGCTATCCAGGCCCACCTCAGGCACATTGAGTTCAAGCTCCAGCAAGGCGACGCGGAAGGCGCTCGCACCAACATTTCTCAAATCGAGTCGCTCATTAACAAGCGATTTGAGGTGCTCTTGGTGGCGGACGAGGCGGGCTTCGAGGCGGCCGATCGCTTCGAGCTCTACCAGTCCAAGAGTGTGCTGACCTCCCGTTCGTACAAGCTGGCCGTGGCCGACGTGGCCGCGTCGAAGCGCTCGTATGACCTACAACCGTCCCACCCGCGGGGGTGGCCTCAACGCCGGCGAACTCGGCAACAAAGGCTCCGGGCAAGGCTCTTGCCAGGAAAGGATCTTCAAGGGCACCTGTTT